CCCTCCCTCCCTCCCTTCCTCCCTTCCTCCCTTCCTTCCATGGAGTCTCGCTCTGTCGCCCAAGCTGGAGTGCAGTGGCGCGATCTCCGCTGCAAGCTCCGCCTCCCGGGTTCACGCCATTCTCCTGCCTCAGCCTCCCAGCGCCCGCCACCACGCCCGGGTAATTTTTTATATTTTTAGTAGAGAGGGGGTTTCACCGTGTTGGCCAGGATGGTCTCGATCACCTGACCTCGTGATCGGCCCACCTCGGCCTCCCAAAGTGCTGGGATTACAGGCGTGAGCCACCGGGCCCGGCCTAGATCATTATTTTCTACCATATGCGTTCAATAATAAAATTTCCCTCTCAGTACAACATCCCAAACATTTTTATGTTTTATTCTTATTTAGTTTAAAACAAAAATTCTGGAGGCAAAGTCTCACTCTGTCACCCAGCCTGGAGCACAGTGGCACAATCACAGCTCACTGCAACCTTGACCTCCCAGGCTCCCAAGTAGTTGGGACCACTGTGCTCAGCTAATTTTTAAAAATTATTTTTTGTAGAAATGGGGTCTCACTATGTTGCCCATGCTGGTCTCAAATGATCCTCTTGCCTCAGCCACCCAGAGTGCTGGGATAAGAAGTATGAGCCACTGTGCCTGGCCCACAATATTTTTTAATGTGAGATGTCTTTTTTGGTTCATGTGTTATAAAGAAGTGTGTTTAATCAGCAAGTCTTTTGAAAATTTACAGTTGTCTTTTTTATTTCTAGTTTAATACCATTGTGGTATAAGAGCAGACATTGTATGATATGTGTTCTTTTAAGTTTGTTAAGTGTATTTTATGCCCCAGAACGTGTCCTATGCTGGTTAGTGTTCCATATGCTTGGTAACAATATGCACTCTATTATTAGAAGAAGCAGTCTATAGATCTTATTTCCCATTGATCTTTGTGTTGAGCGTAACTATGTCCTTACTGATTTTCTGCCTGCTCGATCTGTACATTTCTGAGAGATGATTCCACCATTATAGTTGGAGACCAATGACCCTCTCTTTCTCCTTGTACTTCTGTTTTTGCTTTACATGTTTTGATGCTCTGTTGCTAAGCACTTACCCATTACGGGTTCTTATGTTCTCTTGGAGAACTGACCCCTTTATCATTATACAATGCCTCCACTTTATCCCTGATAACTTTGTCTGAAGTCTGCTGTCTGAAATTAATATAGCTACTCCCACCTTCTTTGATTAGTGTTAGCATGGTGTATCTTTCTCCATCCATTTGTTTTTAACCTACGTGTCATTATATTTAAAGTGGTTTTCTCATAGACAAAGTATAGTTGGGTCTTGTTTCTTGATCCAGCCTGATAATCTCTTTTAACCGGTGTATTTGAACACTAATGTTCAAAGTGATTATTGATATATTTGGGTTAACATTGACTATATTTGGATTAATACTGACTATATTTGTTCCTGTTTTCTAAGTGTTCCCTTGTTCTTTGCTCCTATATTGTCTTCCACTCCTTTTCTGCCTCTTGTTTTTGAGATAGGGTCTCACTCTGCCACCCAGGCTGGAATGCAGTGGCACAATATAGCTCACTGCAGCCTCAAACTCTGGGACTCAAGTGATCTTCTTGCCTCACCCTCCTAAGTAGCTAGGATTATAGGCACATGTCACCACACCCTGCTAATATATATTTTTATTTTCTTTAAAGATAGTCTCACTATGTTGCCTGAGCTGGTCTTGAACTCCTGGCTTTAAATGATCCTCCCACCTCAACCTTCCAAAGTGCTAGGATTACAGGTGTGAGGCACCACACCTAAACTCTTTTGTGGTTCTAACTGAACATTTTATATGATTCTATTTTCCTATTTTCCTAACTTATCAGCAATACTTTTTTTTTTTTTTTTAACTTTTTAGTGGTTGCTCTAGAGTTTGCAATTAATTCAAGTACATTTTCACATAACACTATCCCACTTCACTGATAGTGTGCATATCTTTTTTTTCTTTCTTTCTTTGAGATGGAGTTTTGCTCTTGTTGCCCAGGCTGCAGTGCAATGGCATGATCTCGGCTCACCACAACCTCCGCCTCCTGGGTTCAAGAGATTCTCCTGCCTCAGCCTTCTGAATAGCTGGCATTACAGGCATGCACCACCATGCCCAGATGATTCTGTATTTTGGTCAGGCTGGTCTCAAACTCCTGACCTCAGGTGATCTGCCTGCCTTGGCCTCCCAAAGCGCTAGGATTACAGGTGTGAACCACCTCACCCGGCCATAGCGTGCACATCTTATAATGAAATAATCCTAATTCCTCCCTCCCACTCCCCCATCCCTTATATCACTGCCATCATTCATTTCACTTACATATGAACATATATACAGATATATTAGTATACATCATTGCTATTATTTTGAACAAACTGTCATGTGTTAGATCAATGAACAGGCCAGGCACAACGGCTCATGCCTGTAATCCCAGCACTTTGAGAGGCTGAAATGGGTGGATCGCTTGAGCCCAGGAATTCGAGACCAGCCTGGGCAATATGGCAAAACCCCATTTCTACTAAAATAAATACAAAAAATTAGCCAGGTGTGGTGGCATGTGCCTGTAGTCCCAGCTACTCAGGAGACTCAGGTGGGAGAATCGCTTGAGCCAGGGAGATCAAGGCTGCGGTGGGCTGTGATTGCACCACTGCACTCCAGCCTGGGCGACAGTGAAACCCTGTCTCAAAAAAGTAAAAAGAAAAATAAATCAATGAAGAATGAGAAAAAGCAAGATTTTTCTTTTACCTTTAGTTATTAAAGGTAATAATGATGCTCTTTCTTTAAGTAGATCTGAGGTTCTGACTTTTATCATTTTTCTTCTCTCTGAAAAACTTCTCTTCTTTTAACATTCTCTTCAAGGCAGGTCTACTGGCAACAAATCCCCTTTACTTTTGGAGGATAATTTCATGGGGTACAGCATTCTAGGTTAGTCTGCTTTTTTCTCTCAACACCTTAAACATTTCATTCCACTCTCTCCTTGTGTGCACAGTTTCAGAAGAAAAATTATTTTTTGTTCATTTGTGTTTTGGTTTTGAAGGATTTTTTGCATTTACCCTGTATGTCCTCTGAGCTTCCTCGATCTGTGGTTTCATGTTCCATATTGATTTGGGGAATTATCAATCATTATTGCTTCAAATATTTCTTCTGTTCCTTTCTCTGTCTTCTTCTAGTATTCCCATGAGGCATAGTTATACTTTTTTTTACATCATCTCAGTTTTTGGATATTGTCTTTCAGTTATAGAGGTTTCTATTGAGATATCCTCAAGCTCAGCGATTCTTTCTTAGGATTTTCCTTTTTTTTTTTTTTTTTTGAGGTGGAGTCTTGCTCTGTCGCCAGGCTGGAGTGCAGAGGCGCAATCTCGGCTCACTGCAACCTCCACCTCCCAGGTTGAAGCGATTCTTCCACTTCAGCCTCCCGAGTAGCTGGGATTACAGGGGCCCACCACCACGCCTGGCTAATTTTTGTACTTTTAGTAGAAGCAGAGTTTCATCATGTTGGCCAGGCTGGTCTTGAATGCCTGACCTCAAATGACCCACCCACTTCAGCCTCCCAAAGTGTTGGGTTTACAGGTGTGAGCTTGCGTGCCTATTCTTCATTTTTTATCTCTAGCATTTTAGCTCATTCTTAGGATTTCCATGTCTCCTTACATTGTTTGTTTGTTATTGCTTGTTGTCTACTTTCTCTAGTAGAGCCCTTTTCATATTGATCACAGTTGTTTTAAATTCCCAGTCTGCGAATTCCAACATCTGGGCCATATCTAAATCTGGGTCTGATGTTTGCTCTCTTTATTCAAACTTGTGTCTTTTGCCTCTTAGTATGCCTTGTAATGTTTTTCTTGATAGCTGGTTATGATGTGCCAGATAGAGAGAATTTCTGTAAGCAGGCCTTGAGCAATGTGGTGGTAAGGTGTTGGGGTGGGGGAAGCATTCTGTATTCCTAAATGAGGCCTCAGTGTTCTGGTGACCCTGTGCCTCTGGACTGTGTCCTTCACGAGTGCTATGCGGTTATCCCCTCTTAGATGAGGGACGATGGCTAGAATGAGCTGGGTTTGGGTATTTCCCTTCCTCCAGGTGACTGAGGTTCTGCTATAACTTCAGCAGGTTAGGTGCTTGTTACAATAGAAAGATCAGAAAGCTCTGGAGTATTTCTTTTTTTTCTTTTTTTTTTTTGAGACAGAGTCTTGCTCTATTGCCCAGGATGGAGTGCAATGGCGCGATCTTGGCTCACTGCAAGCTCCGCCTCCCGGGTTCACGCCATTCTCCTGCCTCAGCCTCCCGAGTAGCTGGGACTACAGGCGCCGGCCACCAGGCCCGGCTAAATTTTTGTATTTTTTTTTTTTAAGTAGAGACGGGGTTTCACCGTGTTAGCCAGGATGGTCTGGATCTCCTGACCTCGTGATCCGCCTGCCTCGGCCTCCCAAAGTGCTGGGATTACAGGCGTGAGCCACCGCGCCCAGCCTACTCTGGAGTATTTCAAAATGGTTCCTTCTCCCCTTCCTCTGCTGGAAACATGTGGGGATTTTTCTCCGAATTTCACTGTGAGGACCTAGTCAAGCTCCTGGGGATAAAACTCATAAAAGTGTGGGTCTCCCTTGACCCCCCTCCAGTGACTGAGTTCCCTGGAGTTTTTAACTTCTCAGATCTCTCCACCCTAAGCCTGCAGCAATTCGTCAAATAGAGTTCACATTTTCCTAACCTGGCACTGGTTCTCACAGAGGTTACTGCTCATGGATCTTTTTCTCACGGGTTTCTGTTCTATAAGCTACGATTCTCTGTATTTGCCTGTTTGTCTTTCCAATTTTGGGGACAGCAGTTTGTCCTGTGAGCTCAACTTTCTGACGGATCTAAGGAGAGATGCTGATCTTTCCACTTGCTCAGCTTCTTACTTACTGCTAGGATGGAGAAACAACTTCCGTGCTTCCTGCATGCCACGCTGGAAACCAGAAGTTGCAATTCTTAAAAGAAAAAAAGAACAGCTCTTGTAGCTTCACACATACAAACAAACAGGCTTATTAAAAAATATATTTATTAATTTTTACACCTGCTGCATAGCACAAGACTATTAACACTATAACTCACTGAATGTACAATAAATGTTCACATTTAAATAACAGGATAGGGTCAACATTTTCAACCAGTGGGTCAGCTTCAGCATCTCACGAAGTGCTTTTTAGACCTAGATATCTTAAGAGTTTTTTGAAAGGATACTTCCGAGTCAGAAAACAAGAAGATCAAAACAATAGGTTTTTCCAGAAAAACAGGAATTTTACATGATGAAATGTCTATTTCTGTCGGTACAAATCAACAATAAAAACAAAATCTACATCCAACTTACTCCAAAATACTCACACTGCACTGAATGAAGTCTACAGTGTCAATGTGTCTTGAGAGAGGCCACAATATCCACACTGGCTACATACATGTTTTCCAAATTTAGTTTTCTGATGGCTCATCATTTACCATCAATCCAGGTCCTTTTACAAATCTATGACCTTGGAACGAATGTGCAGAATACCTGATCGGAAAGCCACGTGACTTGGCTCGACTGCCATCCGCATCTCTGGCTGATAATGTACAAATTAGTTTGAGAGTCTTTATTTCACATAAGGACCAAAGAAGAAGAAGAAAACTTAGAAGGGAAAGCAACAAAGAGGTCCTTCCACAATGTTTTCCTCTGTGTATTTTAAAACTTAAAATAACTGCCATAAAATGAACATTCCATTCAGTGATTCTTTTCAGTTTTCCAGTAAGTTATTCCTGAGGGGAGGGAAGATACCTTATGATTCAAATTAAAAAGAACGTAACAGGGCCAGATTTCCGTTATAAAAGCTAAAACTGGACCTTTGGAAAATTCTACTGTTCTTCCCCTAGAAAGGCTTTCTGGACAGGACACTAGGATATTTGTAATCATTACACTGTGGGACTTAGGGAACCCAAGTCTGTATTTTGTAATGCAGGGTCAATATTTTCTGTTGAATAGCTTTCTCCCAAAGACAGAGAGACCATTTTCAGTTTCCGTGTATTTATGAAGTAACTTTCTCAAGTTCTCTTCGTACTCAAACATTGGGGAATAGCTATACGAACGCGGTCTCAGAAATAAAGTGCGAAATCTACCCATCAGTAAAGTTCTTTTAACAGAACTGTTCACTTTTCAGAAACTGTCTTTATCATGAAGAAGCTACTCTACTTAATTTATAGAACCAGTTTTTACCCAGAAATGTAAATTAATTAACTTCATTTGAAATGAAGTAAGGTCTTTCTGTCCTGGAGTAATAAATTCTACTATGCAATAATTATTCTAAAAACGTGTTAGCATGTCACAAAAAGTTGATAAAATGTATACTGATTTTTTAATGCCCAACTAATAGTATATTCATAAAGACTGGATTTCTTCCAGATCCCTTATAACTACTTTATTATAACTTTTCCTCACATTTTAATTTTTTCCGTAAGTGTGAAGTTGATCATCTTATTAAAAGGTCCAGATGAGTTATAATATGTTTAAAGTTAAAAGTGTTAAGAAATAAGAAATGCCAGCTTTCCATCCAACTTTAAAGAATGTTCATTTTAAGATAGCATTAAAAGTACTAAAATACACTGAACACTGTCAGCAAGAGTTAAATGTACACTTGGTCAAGGAATATATCTTTTACCAATGAATGATAAATGGATCCTGCAAGGCAGAACAAAATTTCAATTCTCTCTCTTCTCTCTCTCTCTCTCTCTCTCTCTATCTAGTTTTGGTAATTTTTCTTGATACCAATATCTCCTTCTTACCACCACCACAACCAGAGAATGGGAGGCAAAGTTTTAATGCAGGGGTTTAGATTTTGCTGACATCAAGCAGACTTTTGTCTTTCAGGGAGTCCACCTTTGTGAAATAATGAAGAACTATCAGAACATGAGCTTCTGACCTAATCCACTGAGGACCAGCATCTGTGGAAAGCACTATCAACAGCCTAACAACAGTTTTCTAAAATAGGGAAGTTTAAAAATAAATCAGCAAGAAAAATTTAGATGACAGTTTTTGCCTCAGAACGTCACTGTCAAAACTTTTGTTTCATCATTTTCATTTTCTTATTCAACAAGCTCCCTTTGTTAAATTACTGAAAACTAAAACAAGACAAAGCAGTTCAGACCTAATACACACCCACAAAATGCCCCTTCTCCTTCGGTGCCACGGCTTGGAATAAGAAGTCCAGTAACTATGGACTTGGCACATCCTGTCTCCACCTTTGGTATGAACACAATACGCCACTTAATATTTCCACCAAGGAAAAGTAAGGCTTGTCAGTGTGTTAAAAGACCAACTCAAGAGCAAGGCAAATTCTCTCCATCTCGAAATCTACTTTCCCCTGAAAGATCTCCGTTCCGTGGCAAAAAACGAAGGGTTTGAAGAGTCAATTTGATAAAGATGACCTTGGCAAAATAAACCCCAGTGGATGGATGAGAGACAAAACTGTCGTTTCCAGACTCTTGAGTGAATAATAAATCTTACAAAAGAGCTCTAAGTGTCAGAGCTTTCAGACTTATGAGAACAGACATGAGATGGGTGCTGGATTCGAGCTCCAGGGCGGAAGTCATGGTTTGGTGATGTGCACTTCGCTGCTTCCGTTCCCATTGGTGGTGGTGGTGATGATGTACTGTGTGGTCTGCTGTTGGCTGGTGGTCTGGGGATCCAAGGAGTCACTGTGTGCAGGTGGCTGGACCTGGACTCCACCAGAGAGGGCGGAAGTTTGCTTTTCCTCCAATTCTGGTTGACTTTCTGATAACACATAATGACCCTTAAGGAAGAAGAAAAGGATGTTTAAAAACCTGGGGCCTTAAAGGGAGGATGAAGCTACTAGGGAAGGAGAGAGATGCAAAGAAATGTCACAAGGGACCCAAAATAGGCATCTATGAGAGATACTTTACCTAGGTCCTTTAGAGAGGGTGGATCAGTCACAATAATTGACTACAAAGGTAAGCTCCTTAAAGGAGCACCTTAGCAGTTTCACCAAATGCTAGAGTGAACAACTTCAGGTACAGTAATTTGCATCATGGTGGTAACATTCGACGTGGCAAAGAAAACGTGCTGTTGCAATGCTCCTAAGAATTTACACATTCAGAAAAGACAGTTGACTGTCCATTCGATCTTAAGATTAATACAGAATGGATCCAAGAAGAGATATTTAAAGTCTCCTTGAAGAGGCAGAATGACCCTGAAGACAGGTAGTCAAGATCAATGTTCTCAGAGTTCAGAATTTCAAAAGACCAGCAAAATTTTAAAAAATAATAAATGGAGGCCGGGCGTGGTGGCTCACGCCTGTAACCCCAGCACTTTGGGAGGCCAAGGTGGGCGGATCACCTGAGGTCAGGAGTTCGAGACCAGCCTGACCAATATAAAGAAACCCCGTCTTGGCCGGGCGCAGTGGCTCACGCCTGTAATCCCAGCACTTTGGGAGGCCGAGGCGGGCGGATCACAAGGTCAGGAGATCGAGACCATGGTGAAACCCCGTCTCTACTAAAAAAATACAAAAAATGAGCTGGGCGTGGTGGCGGGCGCCTGTAGTTCCAGCTATTCGGGAGGCTGAGGCAGGAGAATGGCGTGAACCCAGGAGGCGGAGCTTGCAGTGAGCCAGGATCGCGCCACTGCACTCCAGCTTGGGCGACAGAGCGAGACTCCGTCTCAAAAAAAAAAAAAAAAAAAAACCCCCGTCTCTACTAAAATTACAAAAAAAAAAAATTAGCTGGGCGTGGTGGTGCATGCCTGTAATCCCAGCAACTTGGGAGGCTGAGACAGGAGAATTGCTTGAACCCGGGAGGCAGAGGTTGCAGTGAGCCGAGATCGTGCCATTGCACTCTAGCCTGGGCAACAAGAGCAAACCTCTGTCTCAGAATAATAATAATAATAATAATAATAATAATAAATGGTTCCCAAATTGTATTTTGTCAAGTAAGGTCATTTAAAACACGCTACCATCAAATAGAGATTTTAACACTCAAGAGCACAGGAATGACAGGATCTCAGAATGAAATCCCTTACACTGAATAAATGTAGCTTTATGAAAACTTACACATTGTCTTTGTTTTCTTATTTTTCCCCTCATCATGAAAACATCTTCAGAGACCTGTAGCTGGCTATTTTGTTACATTAACATTTTTAAAGAAATGTGTCTGTCAGTCAGAAGGAGGGTTGGTCAGCTACAGAACAGAGGAAAAGAGACGTCACAGAGAGACTGTCAGGCACTAGCCTGTCTGCACTGCCCAGAAAAGAGCCATCACCAAATACCCACTCGATTCCACTAGGGCCAGGTGTTCTGAGTTCACCCCCACCAGGCAACGTTCTGATCGTGATTGTTTTTTCCATGTGGGGGGGGCGCTGTTTCTCAACCTAGGGTCCATTGACTCCTAGAGGGGTCCATAGGTCGCCTGCAAAAAATGCATCAACCCCCAAAACTGTACATCAAATGAGTGTGCATGTACACTGTGGTGGGGGAGAGAAACAAGCTTGGCTGAAACCATTCTCAAATGAGTTCCAGGCCAGAAAAAGATCAGAGTCAATGGGTCGTACAGGGAACAAAAAATGTCCTGGTCATGCCAGCGTGATGATCCCATTTCACATTCGTTACTGTTTTCCCTGACAATGAATAGTGTTACTCTGGATTTGCATCTCTCTCCTAAGTCTAGTTAAAGTGACTGTGTGTGCTGAGAAACAGGCGAGCTCTCCGTATACTAAAAAAAAAAAGAAAGAAAAAAAAATCAGGGTTTTGAGACCACAAGACTAGCTAGCTATCCTCTGAAACCTCTTAAGAAAATCTTCCCTTGGTAATATCTCAATATTGCTAGCCATTGAAGAGCATTTTTCTTTTTTTTTCTTCTAGCTTTATTAAGCTATAATTAAACCAAACAGCCTGATTAACATATCCATCAACTCATGCACTTACCATTTTATTTTGTGGCAAAAAACATTATCTATACTAACAGTTTTCAAGTATACGATACATTATGAACACAGCTAGCATGCTGTACACAAGATCTCCAGAACGTATCCACCCAGGAGTATTTTTCTTTTTTTTCTTTTCTGAGACAGAGTCTCACTCTGTTGCCCAGGCTGGAGTGCAGTGGCATGATCTCGGCTCACTGCAACCTCCGCCTCCCAGGTTCAAGCAATTCTCATGCTTCAGCCTCCCAAGTAGCTAGGATTATAGGGATGCACCCCCACACCCACCTAATTCTTGTATTTTTAGTAGAGGCAGGGTTTTACCATGTTGGCCAAGTTGGTCTTGAACTCCTGACCTCAAGTGATCTGCCTGCCTTGGCCTCCCAAAGTGTTGGGATTATAGGCATAAGCCACTGAGCCCAGCCAAGAGTATTTTTCTAAATTCACATGTATGCACTCTGTCTTCTAATAGCTTAAGAGGCAGGCCAGAACAAACCAGTGAAGATAAAAACAGAAGAAGGAGACACAATCAACATTGTACCTGCCCAACTTAGATAATTTAAGGCAATGTTTTTCACCTTCAGGTGGGTGAAATGTTTAATACAGCTCCATAATTGATTCATTATATTATTCTCTCCCAACCCAGTTGAGGGCCAATTGTCTTGAGGACTTAATCTTTCCAAGAAGCATATAAAAACGCTCATAAGGGCCGGGCACGGTGGCTCACGCCTACAATCCCAGCACTTTGGGAGGCCGAGGTGGGCGGATCATGAGGTCAGGAGATTGAGACCATCCTGGCCAACATGGTGAAACCCTGTCTCTACTAAAAATACAAAAATTAGCTGGGTGTGGTGGCGCATGCTTGTAATCCCAGCCACCGGAGCTGAGGCAGGAGAATCGCTTGAACCCAGGAGGTGGAGGTTGCAGGTGAGCCAAGACTGCCACCACTGCACCTCCAGCCTGGCGACACAGCGAGACTCTGTCTCAAAAAAAAAAAAAAAAAAAAGGGCTCATAGTGATGGAGCTAGGACCATTACAGTTATTAATTGAACAGATATTTATTGAGCATTTGCTATATCCTAGTCTCCTGGATAGGGCACTGAGGATAAAGCAATAAGACCCAAGACCCAGCTTTCAAAGAATTCATCAACTACTGTGAGAAAACAGAGTAGGCCAATCATTAAAAGATAAGTGGTGATAAGAGTTATACAGCACCACAGGTTGGAAAGGAAAAACCCGACCGAGTAGCGCAGCTTACCGGAGTAACCGCCTTCACCTGGCCAGTAGTAACTGGAGTTGCCACACCACTGTCTGTAATCACAAACTGACCTGGGGGAAGGGTCATCATTTGAATCTCAGATGCTAAAAAACAGGAAATATTCATAGTTCAGTGGTCTCAGATTTTAACACAAATCTTAGAAACAAAAACATAACCAGTAGCCACAGTCCCCACTGATGTGCTTGCCACAAGAGTCTTACAATGATATGATTTCTCTGCTACAAATTGAGAAGAGACTGGTACGCAGCAACCCAGTGTCAGAGACAATCAGTGCATTCCCCTTCAAATGTGGCTTCTCAGTATCCACAAAGACAAATACTCAACAATTTTTAAAACCTTGAAATAAGTCAAAAAGAGTTACCTTTTAAATCAATATTTTCATCTTTTATATTCAGATTTGAATTTTTGTGACACAAATGTATCCACACTTGACTCTCATAATTTAACCCAACTTGAATTTTATTTCACCACCAGTGTTATTAGAGCACATTAAAAATAAAGCCAACCCTAGCATCTTGTTGATAAATAATATTTTCTACTAAAAGAATGAGACTTTCTTGGGAAAATGGCTGATTCCAGACCTGGGCAGAAAGCTTGTGAGACAATTGTGGGGCACTGTGTCTTCCCAGCACACAAGATGTGACGAAAGGCTATCGGGTCATGTGGGAGTAATGCAGGAGCCAGTTAGAAGAGGCTCCTACAAGCCAGAGAGGGGATCACTTGAGCATCGGTAAAGATCACAGCTGCAATGGGCTGAAACACACCAGGTGTTGAAATCCACGGGTACAAAACCACACTAAGACGTGCACACACACCCCTATCACCTTGGATAGCATAAGAAATCAATTCATTTTGTGAAAACTGGTAAACAAAGGAAATGAATCAGGTATTTAAAGCATTTATCCTGCCTTTCTTATACAAATTGTACCTGAGAGAAACTTGGTAGTTAAGGTAAAATTTTTTTCTTTATAAAAGTTTTCTAGCTAATTAATGAATAAGGTGCTAGAATCATGGCCAGACACAGGGACTCACGCCTGTAATCCCAGCACTTTGGGAGGCCGAGGCAGGCAGATCACTTGAGGTCAGGAGTTCGAGACCAGCCTGGCCAACATGGTGAAATCCCATCCCCACTAAAAATACAAAAATTAGCCAGGCAAGGTGGCAGGTGCCTGTAGTCCCAGCTACTTGGGAGGCTGAGGCAGGAAAATCACTTGAACCTGGGAGGCAGGTTGCAGTGAACCAAGATCGCACCACTGCACTCTAGGCCTGAGTGACAAAGCAAGACTCCATCTCAAAAAAAAAAGAATAGCACAACTTTGCAAGCCCTAATGAAATAATGGAGCTAAGGAATAAACACTGATGGCTGCTAACATCACAAGAAGATGTTAGCAACATTATGTGCTGAACATTATGTGCTCTTGATAGAAGTACACACACCAGCTATGAAGTATCAGGAGGCAAAAAACAAACTGCACCTGAGCAAGCCTGTAGCTCGAATTGCCAGTCTACAGGAAATGAAAGGAACAGAAGAGCACATATTCACTGCACGGTAACATGGGAATCCCACCAGCAAAATCCAGAATGCAGAAAACAGCACAAACGACCTGGTTTCCTCAACACAGAAATTATAACTTAAAAGAGGGAACACATACATTAAAAGAAACTCAAAAGTCATCATCAATTGCAATGTATGGCCCTTATTTGGAACCCAATATGAGTAAACCAACTTTTTTTGTTTGAGATGGAGTCTCGCTCTGACGCCCGGGCTGGAGTGCAGTGGCGTGATCTCGGCACACCACAACCTTCACCTCCTGGGTTCAAGCGATTCTCCTGCCTCAGCCTCCTGAGTAACTGGGACTACAGGTGAGCACTACCATGCCCAGCTAATTTTTGTATTTTTAGTACAGGCGAGGTTTCACTATGTTGGAGAGGCTGGTCTTGAACTCCTGACCTCGTGATCTGCCTGCCTCGGCCTCCCAAAGTGCTGGGATTACAGGCGTAAGCCACTGAGCCTGGCTGAGTAAACAAACTATTTTTTAAAAAATTTCTGAGACAATCATAGAAATATAAAAACCCTGACTGGGCATTTTAAATGTATTTGTGGGTATTAAAGAATTACTGTTGGCTGGGCACAGGGGCTCACGCCTATCATCCTAGCACTTTGGGAGGCCAAGATAGGAAGATCATTTGAGCCCAGAAGTTTCAAAACCAGCCTGGGCAACACAGCGAGATCTCATCTCTACCGAAAAATTTAAAGGAAAAAAAATTGGCAAAGCATGGTGGTATGTGCCTGTAGTCCTAGCTACTGGGAGGCTAGGGCAGGAGAATGGCTTGAGCCAAGGAGTTGGAGGCTGCAGTGAGCTATAATGACATCACTGTATTCCAGACTGGGTGATAGACAAGACCCCCTCTCTTAAAAAATAAATAAAGAAAAATTACTGTCATTTCTTTTTAGGTGTGACAATGTTGTATGGAGTTGTGCTTTTAAAAAATAGTTTTTTTCAGCTGAGCATGATGGCTTATGCCTGTAATACCAGCACTTTGGGAGCCCAAGGCGGGAGGATCACTTGAGCCCAGGAGTTTGAGATCAACTTAGCAATGTAGTGAGATCTTAGCTCTAAAAAATTGTTTTAAAATTAGACTACACATGGTGGCTCACATCTGTAAACCCAGCACTTGGGGAGGCCAAAGTGGGTGGATCACTTGAGTCCAGGTCAAGGCTGCAGTGAGCCATGATCACGCCACTGCATTCTCCAGCCTGGAAGACAGAGCAAAACCCTATCTCAAATAGTCTTTTTCTTTTAGAGATATACCAAAATATTTATGGATGAGGTGATATGATGGATCATTATCCAGTTGGAGGATGGGAGATAATGATTGGCGCATATATGAGACAAGGTTGGGTGTAAGTTGGTAACTGCGGAGGCTGGACAATGGGTACAGGACGGTTTGTTACACTCTCTCTACTTTTGTATATTTTTATATTTTTCCCTAATAAATTTCAGTCCCAGAATCTTTTTTACAGGTTAGAATGCTAGCTCATCCTATTTTTACCATAAGTATCTTCATCACTCCACTTTTTTTTTTCTTTTTTGAGATGGAGTCTCGCTCTGTCACCCAGGCTGGAGGGCAGTGGCACGATCTTTCTGCCTCAGCCTCTTGAGTAGCTGAGATTACAGCCACCCACCACCACACCTGGCTAAAGTTTTTTGTATTTTTAGTAGAGATGGGGTTTCACCATGTTGGCCAGGCTGGTCTCAAACTCCTGACCTCAAGTGATCCGCCCACCTTGGTCTCCAAAGTGCTGGGATTGCAGGCACGATCCACAACACCCAGCCCACTTCACTTTCTTTCACAGAAATTATACTGAGTACAGAGGTCAGTCTATTCACCAGATTCTAGTGGTAAGAGAATCCTTCCCTGAGTGGAAACTAGACCCAGCCCTCGTTGTGACGTCCAGTGTTTAAGAGTACAGATTGTGGCCGGGCGCAGTGGCTCATGCCTGTAATCCCAGCACTTTGGAAGGCTAAGGTGGGCGGATCACTTGAGGTCAGGAGTTCGAGACCAGCCTGGCCAACATTGTGAAACCCCATCTCTACTAAAAATACAAAAATTAGCTGGGCTTGGTGGCCCGTGCCTGTAATCCCAGCTCCTCGGGAGGCTGAGGCAGGAGAAATGCTTGAACCCAGGAGGCGGAGCTTGCAGTGAGCCAAGATTGTGCCACTGCACTCCAGCCTGGGCGACAGAGCGAGACCCCATCTCAAAAAAAAAAAAAAAAGAATATTGACTGTAAAAATTAACTAGATGGTAGATTTTGAGCCTGACTCCACAGCAAATCTATGTAACATAGCCAAGGATCAATCATGACAAAGACGGGCCCCCCCAAAATAAATCAACAGTAGAAGAAAGATCAATACTGACCCTTTCCCTTCTCAGCACCTATTCCTCCTAGTTTCTACTGCTGAGGTCTGTTACGTCTGCTACTCCTTCCACACCTTCCATGACAAAGGTCTCATACTTCCTGGCCTGCAACCCAAAGCTGTTTCCCCACCAAGGGGTTCACCTACTCCGACCTGTCAGCCAGCCTGTTACTGTTTCCATAGCACGAATCTCAGGGTTTTGGAATCAACCACTCATATATCTCTCTCCTTTACTAGATGACGGTCAGCAGCACAGTGGGGTGGTGTAGAGTGTACACTCTGAAGCCAAACTGCCTGGGCTCCAATCCTCTGTTTACTAGCTCTTGGAAAAGTGAGTGTGTGGAAATTGCCTTGTCTGTAAAATGCAAATAACAATTGTACTTATCTCATAGGTTGTTGTGAATACTGACTGTGATATATATGGTATGGAATCATTCCTGGCCATATAGTAAGAGCTTAATGAAAGTTGGTTAACATTATTATTGTGTGGTGTTACTGATACTAATGAGAATATTATTCTTGGTATGGCCAGGGTCTAGGACAGTGATTGATACACAGGCATTCTACAAATATTGGTGGAAGGGACGACTCAACATAGCCTATATCCATCTACCTTACCATTTAATTACATAGCTATGCTTCCTCCAGCGATATACCTGGCGTTTCAAAAATGTCCTATCAGGGTAGCTCCGTGAAATCAGAATGCTACACCTTGAGTTTTGTCATGAAACTCATTGAAGTACATGCACTAGAGAGTGTACAAAACGGTCAACAGATACTTTAAAAATGTATCATAAGCTGAATAAAGTATGACACATGGCTGGAGATCTCCCACCCCTGCCCGACATGGCATCGTCCCTTCTTACTTACAATAGCCACGGAAGGAATTCCAGGCACTGGGCAGGTACGTGTGCTGCACAGAGGAACTCTGCTGCTGCTGCTGCTGCAGGGCCTGCCCCTGTGTGGAAGAGCTGCCCTGGATGTGGGAGGGGCTGAGCCCCTGCTGAGCCTGCTGGGCTGAGGGACTCAACGGCTGCCCAGATACCTGGGGAGAAAGAGAAAGCAATGGTAGGGAATTATAAACTTCTAATATAGTGAAGACTCACAAATAACTGAAGGAAGTAAATCAGACTAATATGAATTATAATGCTGAAACTATCATTGCTTTTTTTTTTTTTTTTTTGAGATGGAGTTTTGCTCTTATTGCCCAGGCTGGAGTGCAACAGCATGATCTTGGCTCACTGCAACCTCTGGTCCCCGAGTTCAAGCTATTCTCCTGCCTCAGCCTCCTGAGTAGCTGGGATTACAGGCATGCGCCACCACGCCCGGCTAATTTTGTATTTTTAGTAGAGACGGGGTTTCTCCATGTTGGTCAGGCTGGTCTCAAATTCCCGACCTCAGGTGATCGGCCCCCCTCGGCCTCCCAAAGTGCTGGGATTACAGGCATGAGGCACCGCACCCAGCCTATCATTGCTATTATTAAAAGTAATATTTTAAATAAGAATAAAATCAATGAAAAGCAAGCATAACTATGAAATTCTAATTTGTTTTCAAAGGATTCTCTACCAGAGTATGCAAAAAAATTAATTTCAATCAACTGTTAGAAAGATAAATGAAAGAAAATATAATTACCTACATTATACAAGGTTAAAAATAATGGGAGGTGAAGTAACTTTCCTGTGTCACAAAACTAATCTGGAACACAAAATTAAATGGAACTCAAAGTTCATCATTTCCATTCACCAGCACTGACTAATCCCACCTGGCTGGTGAGTTCAGCACAGGTGAGTGGAGAGGCCCACTCCTGACAACAGGATGAGGCCAGAGGTCTCCAGCCTGCCACCTGCAATTCTGCTCCAAACTACCCACCCGGCTTCCTTTCCAAACATCATTTCCTGTTAGTAATCCAAACAGAATAACCCCGTTTCAGAACTGTACCCCTCCTCCAAGACCTCAAAGACCACTTCTACAAAAATGCCCTGGACTCCCTCCTAAACCTAATCTCTCCCTCTCTGAACTCCGAGAACGTATCTATGTATCTCAATTCCAGACTCAAGTACACAAACACAGTATCATACAATATACCATAATACTCCACAAAACCACTGTTCCAAACCAGAGAAGCCACTTAGCCATTGCATTTAGAATGGAAAGCAAAGACCACTGTTGTTTCTAGGATGTCATAGCACAGGACTCTATGAGGGCAGAAACAGCTAATAGCTTAATGTGTGTCCACAATACCAATATAAAAATTGGAGGCAAAGGTAAGATCCTTTAATACAAATCCAAAAATAACAGTATCTCAGTAGCTGAGGAGACTAGGTCTGAAGGGAATGTCCTCCCTCTCATTAACTCTGATAGTCCCTGAGGCCATCCTAACACCTCCAAATAGTCTGTGGAGCAGGGTACCTGGGCGGAGGACGGGGCCGAGGCGGTAGGCTCGCTGACCTGGATGTGCTGCACCTGGATGGCGTGCTGGGGGTAGGGCTGAGGATCATGGAGCTGGCCAACATCCACAGTGGACTGCTGTGACTGGTGAGGGGAAGTGGCCTGGAAGGAGAGAAAACAGGCCCAGAAACCAGATATATATTGATTGAGATGAAGGGAAATCCTTCCAGAGAAAATGTTCAGTTAAAAACAATATCCTGGCCGGGTGCGGTGGCTTATGCCTATAATCCCAGCACTTTGGGAGGCCAAAGCGGGTGGATCTTGAGCCCAGGAGTTCAAGACCAGCCTGGGCAACATGGCAAAACCCTGTCTCTACAAAAAAATACAAAAATTAGACAGGCGGCCGGGTGTAGTAGCTCACCCCTGTAATCCCAGCACTTTGGGAGGCTGAGGTTGGGGGATCGCTTGAGGTCAGGAGTTCAAGACAAACCTGACCAATATAGTGAAACCCTGTCTCCACTAAAAATACAAAAATTAGCTGGGTGTGGTGGTGAGCACCTATAATCCCAGCTACTCAGGAGGCTAAGGCAGAAGAATCACTTAAACCTGGGAGGCAGAGGTTGCAGTGAGCTGAAATCATGCCACTAGACTCTAGCCTGGGCAACAGAGCAAGACTCCATCTCAAAAAAAAAAAAAAAAAAAAATTAGCCAGGCATGGTGGCATGCCTGTAATCCCAGCTACTGATAAGGCTGAGGTGGGAGGAATATCTGAGCCTGGGAGGCGGAGGCTGCAGTGAGCCATGATTGTGCCACTGCACTCCAGGCTGGGTGACAGAGTGAGACCCTGTCTCAAAAAAAAAAAGCAAAAACAATATCCCAATATATGCCAACAGAAATAGAAGAATGGAAGGGATTTCAGCTCCAATGCTGCACTCGCAGATAGCCCACACCTAGACCAAGCCAGAAAACAGGATAGAAAAAGATCGTTTAAAGAAATGTGCTTCTAACACATAAGCCACTAATGTTATTAGATTCTGGAAGAGAAGGAGAGAGAGGAAAGATAGTTCCTGACAATAAGCTGAAAAAGAAGTTGTCAGGAATCAAAACTTTCAGTTACATTTAATGATCTACCCTTTATCAATTAAAAGAGATCAAAGAAGAGAATGTGCTTCTAGTTTGTCACCATTAACCTACTGCAACCGTGGTTCTTAACCTTTTATGTATCATAAACATCTTTGAAAAAGTAGCTAAAGTACAGGCCCTTTTTCTAGAACAGTGTACCTATACATCATAATTTACAGGCAACTTCAGGGACTCATATAGGTTTCTCCAAATTCTGAAGTTAAAAACCCTCCATAAGATAAACAAGATAGGTCAGCTGCGTTTCTGCGGTCGCGGTTGAAGAGCTCAAGCTCGGGAAAATGGTGTGCATTCCTTGTATCGTCATTCCAGTTCTGCTCTGGATCTACAAAAAATTCCTGGAGCCATACATATACCCTCTGATTTCCCCCTTCGTTGGCCGTATATGGCCTAAGAAAGCAATACAAGAGTCCAACGATCCAAACAAAGGCAAAGTGGACTGTAAGGGTGCAGACATGAATGGATTACCAACAAAAGGACCAACAGAAATCTCTGATAAAAAGAAAGACTAAAGCAGTTTTCCTAAAGGACCTCATCATTTAAAAAATGGACCTGATAATATGAAACATCTTCCTTGTAACTGTCTCTGACCTTTTTATCTGAGACCGGAATTCAGGATAGGAGTCTAGATATTTACCTGATACTAATAGGAAATACATGATATCTGTATTTAAAATGTAGTTAGTTATATTTAATGACCTCATTCCTAAGTTCCTTTTTCATTAATGTAGCTTTCATTTGTTATTGCTGTTTGAATAATATGATTAAACAGAAGGTTTGTGCCAGTAGACATTATGTTACTAAATCAGCACTTTAAAATACTTGGTTCTCTATCTAATTCATAGGAATTTGACTGCTGTTTGCTCTACTTTCTTTGGGCTCTTCTAATTTGAGTGGAGTACAATTTTATTGTGAAACAGTCCAGTGAAACTGCAGGGAAATGCAGGTAGAATCTTGGGAGGTAATAATGATGTGAAACATAAAGATATAATAATTACTGTCCAACACAGTGGAGCAGCTTTTCCACAAATGTAGTAATTACTATTTATTGCTCTAAGGAAGATAAAAAAAAGATAGGGAAAAAGGGGAAACTTCTTTGAAAAATGAAACATCTTTTACATAAATGTCTAATGTAATTATAAAATGTTAATCCTTACTGCATTTCTTCTGTTCCTACAAATGTATTAAACATTCAGTTTAAAAAAAAAAAAAAAGAAAAACAAGATAAAGAATAGTCAATGACAGTGGCAACTTCCAATCTCCTGTTCCCATGTTAGTTTTAAATTTTCAGAGACCAAATGATTTCAAAGCAACAAGTTTGTTCATTTGTGCCTTGAGGACACTTCTCCTCAGTGTAATTAAATGAAACAATAGTTCTGGGAGAATCACTTTCATTTAGTTCTTTAGTCAATAAGAATGAGTTATTCATTATCTGGTAGAAGGAACACAGTTATACCTCTATACTACAAAGGCACTGACTGATATGCAGAGATTGAATCAACATTATTCCTTTTTTTTTTTTTTTTTTGAGATGGAGTCTCACTCTGTCGCCCAGGCTGGAGTGCAATGGTGTGATCTCCGCTCACTGCAACCTCTGCCTCCCAGGTTCAAGCAATTCTCCTGCCCCAGCCTCCTGAGTAGCTGGGATTACAGGCATCCACCACCACACCCAGCTAATTTTCATATTTTTAGTAGAGACGGGGTTTTGCCATGTTGGCCAGGCTGGTCTTGAACTCCTGACCTCAAGTGATCTGCCCACCTTGGCCTCCCAAAGTGCTCAGGTTACAGGTGTGAGCCACTGTACCCAGCCATCAATATTATTCTTTACAACCTCTCTTTGATATAAGACATTTGATACGCAGGTCATGATTCATCAAACTGGCTCATTACGAAGCAGCCAACCAGGATGGTAAAAGATAAGGATTCAGAGGAGGATCAGAAACAGGTGCTGTGGCTACTGTCCTGCCATAGCACAGGAGGCTTGTATATGCTGGAGCCTAAAATTTCCTGACTACCACAGACAGAAATCTCTTACACTGCTAAGGCCAGAGGCCTCATCAGCCTGAAAGGGGAAGGGGCATTTGTAAAATGCCCAAGGCTCAGAACTTCCACGCAGAAGGACATTACATAGATCCCAGCCCCAGATCGGAGAATGAGGTGCTAGTGGCAACACGGCATTCATAAGGCAAAGGGAAACCGAGGCACGCAGTACCGGGGCCACTTGCACCACTTGAAGCTGTATGTGCTGAGGCTGCTGGAGGCCAGACGCCGACTGTGACACAGGGATGTACTGAATTCTCTGGTAATCCCCTTGTGGCGTTCGGTAGTCTGTCGTCAAGGTCTGGGACAGTTCTGTCATTGCTTGGGTGAGCAGGTCCGTCGTCACCACAGTCTCTCCGGTGGTGCTGTCTGTAGTTAAAACCGCTGGGGTGGCACTGATCACAGCTGTCGTCAGTGGTGTGTGTATGGTGTTGGAGAGCTGGGCGAACTCCGGATGCTTCTTTCGAATGTGCTGGACCATCTTGGTCTGAAAAAGCAAGGCAAAAAAACAAGAATTAATATTAGAATTTGTGATTTTCGGGCCGGGCGCGGTGGCTCAAGCCTGTAATCCCAGCACTTTGGGAGGCCGAGACGGGCGGATCACGAGGTCAGGAGATCGAGACCATCCTGGCTAACACGGTGAAACCCCGTCTCTACTAAAAAATAAAAAAAAAATTAAAAAAAAAAAAAAACAACTAGCCGGGCGCAGTGGCGGTCGGTAGTCCCAGCTACTCGGGAGGCTGAGGCAGGAGAATGGCGTAAACCCGGGAGGCGGAACTTGCAGTGAGCTGAGATCCGGCCACTGCACTCCAGCCCGGGCGACAGAGCGACACTCCGTCTCAAAAATAAATAAATAAATAAATAAATAAAAAGAATTTGTGATTTTCCATTTTTCTCATATGTCAATCCTCCAAAGATTCCTAAAGTCTTTTATCTTATGTCTTTAAAAAAGAAAAGTCAGAGCAACACCGACTCTATGCCTGTACTTCCTGGGGTAACATAATGCTATGAAAGCAGGAAAGAGGGTGGGAATGAAGTAAAGCCTCACCTGGTCTCACACCACCAGCAAGGTCTCAACAACCCCCCCAACTAGTACCTGCAGCAACAATCACAATCCCCCCAGCCAAAACCACCTCCTTCGTAAAGCCACCACTTCACCTTCTATGCGGTGCTTCCATAAGCCTGAACTCACCAGCCACAAGCACAGAACATTCAAACGTGAGGCCCTCCGCAGGCCAAGGGAAAAGGCAAACAGCCAGCTGCTTGGGCTGCTGTATGGCACTAATTCTGGGGGAGGTCCTCAGTATTCTCTTTCCATTCTCTGCTGTGGTCCCTGTTTACAGTGACTAGGACAACAGCTCTTTCAGTCCCCCATCAACTCAGAAGGAGCCGTCCAGACCATGTGGATGAGAGGACATCTTCCCTTAAGAGATTCCTTACGTGGCTGTTTTGACCTCAGCTTTAGTCAGAAACCGCCCCTACCTTGCTGCTGTACTGCTTGGAGCAGTGGGGACAGCAGACGGGAGGGGTGGCAATGGTGCCCGTCAGCTGGGTGTGTGTGCTCAGCATGGGGTCTGGCTCTCCGGGACCAGCGGGCCGGAGCTTCCGGATGCTCGGTGGGAGCTCTGCTCCTGGGTGGTTCTTCAGAATGTGGGCTTTGCGCTTGCTGGCGCTTTTATAAACCTGCAAAGGTAAGTGCCTGCCATGAAAGCAGTATACGGTTCCACTTTCTTGCTTAAAGCAAACTAACAATTTCATTATAAGACATTGAGGAAAAGTATTGAAGTAGACCCAAATAAAATATATGAATACGTATATTAACAGATCTATTGAAGGACAACAAGCATATACCATAAATTAGAATAAAATAAGAACATAATGTAGATATGCCAGGTTTCTTTAATCCATAAATCTAAGATAATAACTGTGAAAGTACCCTTTATCCTAAAGTTTAAAATTTGGATATGATACAGACACAGGAAGGTAATTGTTTTCAAGGCCCATCCACCTCATATGAGAGCTGCCTGTGAAAGCTCCCACACGATGTATGCAGCTGAAGACCAGGAGCCAGAGAATCTTCCAAACGGCAACGTCAATAGCAACTGCTATCTATAGTGGGAATCTATGTTAAAAAATGTTTCTCACTTTTAAGCTGATATAGCTACATTATATAAGGAAAGGATGGCCGGGTGTGGTGGCTCATGCCTATAATCCCAGCACTTTGGGAGGCCGAGGTGGGCGGATCACCTGAGGGCGGATCTTCCTGGCCAACATGGTGAAACCCCATCTCTACTAAAAATACAAAAATTAGCTGAGCGTGGTGGCGGGCGCCTGTAATCCCAGCTACTCTGGAGGCTGAGGCAGGAGAATCGCTTGAACCCAGGAGGCAGAGGTTACAGTGAGCCGAGATCATGCCACTGCACTCCAGCCTGGGTGACAGAGCAAGACTCCATCTCAAAAAGAAAGAAAGGATATTATGGTGGAACAACGAATATATATTCTGTGTCTTTTCTGAAACTACACAAAAATAATGGAGGACAAGTAGAGTACTCCACCACGAAGCTTTCCCAACCCCTCCCCACCTTATAGAAACCCCCAATGTACCATATATGTTATAGGTCATATGATAAATGCTCTCATTTTAGAACCTAGGAATTTGAAATTAATTCATACACTAGGCACTCAGTAATAAGCCTCTTCTTGTGTAACAAAAATCACAGAGAGAAGGGACAGTAAGAAAAATGAAGTCAACTATTTCTTAAGAAAAAAAAATTGGCTTAAAATTAGGCTGCATTTGTAGTCCTTTCTTGTCTGAATGGAGACTACGGAGAGACAGGGAACCATCTGGTCAGAGCAACAAACAAATCATAGCATATATTTATAAATGCGGACGAGTCAGCTCTAAGCAGGAACCCCAGTGGCACACCAGCACGAATATTTCCCTTTTACCTTATCGCAATACTGACAAAAGTAATCACGATTGGGTTTTATGATGGGTAGAGTTAACTCTGGCACCTCTTCTATCTTCATGTCTGGGTGTCTCTTTGACAAGTGATTTACCTAAAGTGAAAACAAAGAACAAATGAGAAAAAGAGATCCCATTAACCAAACGGAAGCGACACAAATGCCTCTGATAATGACTGCCAGAAGCTGAAATTCTCTGAAGCAATGCCCCAAAACAATAAGGCATTTGGCCAGGACCAGCATCACCAGACCCCATCTGACACCAAAGCACTCACAGTTGGGGTTAACAGGAGTTAATAATTCACCAGACAACTGAAGGTGAACTCACTGTGGTGAACTCAGCCATCAACAGTCTTTGGCTGAAAGAACTACTATTGGAAAAAGGAAAATTACACTGATACAAATTTCTTTGGTGAGTTCTCCTCATGCAAACCTGTCTTTCACTATTTAATGCCCTAGCCTTACGAAGAACATGGAATGAGATACAGATCAAGGTTCTGAATTTTAATTTGCTCTATGACTTTCCAGCTCCTGGCAGAAATATATTCTGCACCTGTAACAAGGTCAAAATGAGTTGAGAGCAGAGCACTGGCTGTCCTGATACTTCAGCTAATCTACATGCACATACCCTGCTTTGATGGAAAGCTTCCTTCTACTGCTGTTTGGTATCTGGAAAAGAGAGGCATTAAAAGGAAACAGCTGGGGGCTGAGCGCAGTGGCTGACGCCTGTAATCCCAGCATTCTGGGAGGCTGAGGAGGGTGGATCACCTGAGGTCAGGAGTTTGAGACCAGCCTGTCCAACATGGTGAAACCCTGTTTCACCATGAAATACAAAAATTAGCCAGGCATGGTGGTGGGCACTTGTAATCCCAGCTACTCAGGAGGCTGAAGCAGGAGAATCACTTGAACCTGCGAGGGGGAGGTTGCAGTGAGCCGAGATCATGCCATTTCACTCCAGCCAGGGCAACAACAGTGAAACTCTATCTCAAAAATAAATAAATAAGATAAAATAAAATAAAAGGGAACAGCTTGGGAGAAGGCAAACACCCCACAAGAAAATACATTCAGGGACACAAAAAAGGGAAATAAAATAAGGTGACAGCAGAGATTGAAATGGGTAAAGAAAAACAAAACCAGTAAGGAAAAGTGATTAAAAAAAAAAAAAGAAAAAAAAGCCTCTTGCAAGAATTGACCCAAAAAGCAGCAAGAGGGCAAAGGGAGGCTAGAAAAGACAGAACTCCAAACTGGGAATTGTTTGCCTCTGTTTCTTCCCCGGACATCGACAAAACCATTGATCAATACGACTTAGGACAGAATACAACACAAAAGTCACCATCATCGACAGAAATGAGGTGTGCTGGGAAGGCAGAGGAACCAGCGGCCACTTGGCACTGACCAGCATGCCGCGCCGGCGGAAGCCCATCATGCACAGGCGGCACTTGAACGTGAAGCTGTCGTAGTCTGTGGACGTGATGCGGGGCTTGAACGTCTTGGAGCGACTGATGCGGTCGGCTTTCTTGGCCTCCCTCTCAGGGTTATGCATCCTCTGCATGTGTTCCCGTAGTTTGTCTTTTCGCTATTTGGAGAGAATTTTTGAAAACAGGGTAGACATGGTGGTAGAACATTTTTAATTGAAGGGATAATTTTAAAAATCAATACAAATTAGCAGTAGCCACAAGCCTCCAAGAGACATTTGAGTTGCTGGAACACTAGGACATTGAAAGACGTGTTAAAAGTGCCTGGGAGTTACTCTGTTCACTAGCAAATATGTGCATTCCAATGAACCTTGGTTTAAAATGACCATTAAATAGGAAAGATACATACCGACTTTTGAGAATAAAGACCGTGCATTAAAGAATTAAAGAGAACATGGAATAAGCCTGGTATAAAAGAAGACAAATTGATAATAGGTAATACTAGATTTTAGAAGCCATGCGTAGGCCGGGTGCAGTGGCTCACGCCTGTAATCCTAGCACTTTGGGAGGCCGATGTGGGCGGATCGCCTCATGTCAGGAGTTTGAGACCAGCCTGGCCAACACGGTGAAATCCTGTCTCTACAAAAAATACAAAATTAGCTGGGTGTGGTGGCGCACGTACTCCCAGCTACTCAGGAGGCTGAGGCAGGAGAATCACTTGAACCCAGGAGGCGGAGGTTGCACTGAGCTGAGACTGCGCCACTGCACTCTAGCCTGGGCAACAGAGCAAGACTCTCTCAAAAAAAAAAAAAAAAAAACCAGTGTATACTCAATTCCCACACATTTCAGCAAACATTATATTTTTCTAAATCCCAAAAGAATTTAAGTGAGAATCTCTATCTTATGGATTTAGAACTTCTCACCTTACAGAATTAGAAGTTCAAGTAAACAAATCCATTGTTCATTATGATGGAGCATGGGGCCCAGGGCTCAGCTCCTGGTTTCACTATTTAGTGACACATGCTGATGTGAGTCCATGGAAAGAATTAGGCAGAGCCCATCCTGAATACAAACAAAGTGCCAGCTCCCTGATCCAGTGAGGCTCTCTGCTCTGGGACACATGAATGAATTGTTATTAGTCCTGTAGAGACTCTGAGCCTTTCTACAAACCAGTTCTTCCCACCTTTTGGTACAGGGACATTTTTAAGGACTTCATTTTTCAGCACATTTACTCAACAAATATTCCTTGAGTGCCTACCAAGTATCGGGGAGCAGGCTAAGGGCCCAGTTCCAATGCTGGACCTCCCTCACCCACCTGCCTCTTCTGCTACAATGCATATGACCCAACTGCTCTTTCTTCCTATCCCACCCGCCTTCATTTCTGGAAAGCCCAGGAGGGAATGTTCAGAGCTTTGTAGGCTGCAGTAGGATTTGAATTAAGGACACTGCCCTAAATGACGGTATTTTTCTTTAGTGTAATACGATGACAAAGCACTGCTGCACTGCCGCTATTTTTTCTTTTCCTCTTCCTCCAACTCCTCTCGCATTCCCACTTTTTCCTAAGCATCAATGTTTACTAGTTCCCCTGTCTATTCCCTTTAAACAACCAATTTACCTTAACCGAATCATCACGTAAATTTCAAAGTCTAACACAAATACCACACCATGCTATGCACATCGTGACAGGCACACATTTGTTGGATGCCAAATCTCCATGAGGCCTTTCCATCCTAACATCCCCCAAACCAAATCCGCTATCTGCCCCCACTCCTTCTGCCTAAGTCGTGCTTTTTCGTATCAGTGGTGTTCCTAAACATCTAGCCTCTCGAGCTGCAAATCTCCATTCCTCGTTGTCTACCCTTCCCCCTTTCATCCAAGTGCAAGGTCTTGTCAGCTTCCCATGACACCTGTCTTGAACACAGCCCGTCTTCTCCACACCCACTGCCTCCACCTGAATTAGCCCAGCTCTGAAACACTTAGGGCTCACTTCCTGGTAAGTCTGATGACTTAGCACAGCGCGCTAGCTTAACCTGCTTCCCTGGCTTCCTCTTGCCACACCCTCCATCACTCCCCTTCTCCCCATCTCCTGAACGTGGCATTGTTACTCCCTGCTGCTCCCTCTGCTTGAGATGCCGATATCCCTCCGTCACTCCTCACCTCTCCCTTTCCCTAGCTGGCAAACTCTTTCCTACCCATGAGTGGATTCAAAAGTGTCACCGTATCCATGAGGTCTCCCCTATACCCCAAATCAGTGAATCCCTCTCACGGCATTGTTGAGATGGAGTCTCACTCTGTTGCCCAGGCTGGGGTACAATCGCGCGATCTCAACTCACCGCAGCCTCTGCCTCCCAGGTTCAAGTTTTTCTCCTGCCTCAGCCTCCTGAGTAGCTGGGATAACAGTCATGTGCCACCGCGACCGGCTACTTTTATATTTTTGGTAGAGATGGGTTTTCTCCATGTTGGTCAGGCTGGTCTCAAACTCCTGACCTCAGGTGATCTGCCTGCCTCAGCCTCCCAAAGTGCTGGGATTATAGGGGTGAGCCACCGCGCCTGGCCACTTTATTCTTTTCTCTATTCTAGTGTGAACTCCCTAAAGTCAGAAGGTCCCACCTTGACTTCAATGCTGCCCTCATGGAGCTTACACTTAGCAGGACAGGCAAATGCAATACACAAATGCTACGACAGGGTCACCAGCAAAAGGCCCTGTGGGAATTCATGGGAGAAGCAGCACTTAATCCAGGGATCAGAAAATGCCCCATACGAAGTGACATTAGCCAGGTAAAGGAATATGACAGTTTGAAAGTGCGTTTCAAGTCAGGACGAGGAGTGAGAGCAAGTGCAAACAAAGGCCCAAGAAGAGAGAGTACGCCACACTTGGGTAAAGCTATGGAGTTCAGGTCACCCTGAGTGCACAGGGAGGCGGGAACCAGAGAGGCTGGCAGGAGCCAGATCTTGTAGCATCTTAGAAGTAACAAGAACTTCGGGATTTATCTGCGTGAAGAGCTATTAAAGAGTTTTTCAGAAAGGACATGACATCAGAGCTGTTCTCCAGAAAAATTACTCTGATTCTAGTTTGAAAATATGCCAGGAAGGTAGGTGGTAGTGGTTTTGTGCTGGGTCAACTTGGCTAAGGGGAGCTACATTTGAAGGGAGTCTCCTTCCCAGCATGGTTCCGAGTTGGGTTAGCCAAACAGAAACTCATACCAGCCTGGAAGGTGGAAAGGAAGCAGTTCCATGCTGCTCTAGACAGTGTCACACAGAGGTACCTGTGGGTCCCTACTTATCCTCTCTTTCCCACCCAGCCACAAGATGTCTTCCTGACTGCCAGCCCTGCTGGCCAGCTCCATATCCGCCACCAGATGCAGCGACACAGTCTTCCACAGACCGTACCAGCTCTCCTTCCCGGCCTCCACTGCAGGTGGAAGGGCCTGGTTCCTAGATTCCCAGGTAAGTTCCCATTGGACCACCCAGACCAGTGCTTCTGTGGGCATACTGCTGACTTCCGACCTCCCAGCTTCTCCCTTTGACCCCCACTTCTCCATCTTCTCCTATAATTCAGTTCTCAGTCCTATAAGAAAATCTTCTGTGACACTCACAGCGGCTTTGCTTCCCTGATTGAACTGTGTTGAATATGCTGGGTCAAAGTAAAAGAGAAAATGAAAGCAAGAAAAGAAATTTTAAAGAAATATTCCAAGGTGTTAAAATATGGTATCTGGCACAAAATGAAAAATCAAAAAACATTGGCTGGATGGGATGGATGGATGGCCAAACAGTATCACAAAACAGGAATCCTTTTAGATATGATTTTTTTTATAAAAACAGAAAAATCCCAGACCTATTTATACTTTTCACATTGGAGTTCTCTACACAATTCTAAATTGTGCTACTACATATTAAAAGGCATTAGATTATATTTTATAACACACTACCATAAAACAAGCTTTGAAAATTCTATTTCTCTTTGATTTCTTTGCATCTGTTACAAATATACCCTTAGCTTTCCTCTCCTGAATCCATTTCTGATTCTTTTCCAGTTTCTATGAGAGCGTGGCCTACAATCATATTCAGTAGAATATCTTCCGATGACGGTTTTGCAGAATCACCTGATTTCCCAATGAAGCATCTTTCATTGTTTTTACGTTTATTTATTTAACTTTTATTTCTGGGTCCCCTGCAGGGTTTTGCTTGGCTTCTTCTAAGTTCCAGGTACGTTACCAACACTTATAATGTTCTACTTTAATCTTTGAGGTCATTAACACTCTCCAAAGCAGTCTAAGCCTTCTCAGCACTCCTCGGATTTCCCACCTGTGTTAGATGAGAGTCCTGCTGCCTGCGAGGCCCAATTACTGGCTCTTGTACTTAATCAGCGCTCAACAAAAACCTCTTGACCTGAACGTTAAGTAAAGGTATTGGTCTGTCAGGAAATCTCAATAGCAATTTAGTTATACTTGTCATTATACATTTGGATTCTTTTAGGAGATGCATTTTCACTCTACTTGTTTGGGGATTTGAATTAACTATTTTGAGACAGTAAGTTTTCCCCCTTAATTTTATAACTAAGTCAAACACAAGGCCCAAAGTGCATCTCAGGTCCAGTTCATCAGAAGTGGGTGAAAAACTGATGAACTGAACAGGCATTTACCCTCAGCTTGCTATAATTCCAGTGGCCACGAGACCCACCTTGGGTTGTGTCTTGGTGTCATACCTTAAATTGCTTCCCACAGGTGGAACACAGGAAGTCTTTGCGGTCCGAATGCCGGAGCATGTGGAGTCGCAGTTTATCGGGGCGACAGAAGGCCTTGTCACACTCTGTGCACTGGTAGATCTTTTCTGAGTGGAAGCTGCGCACGTGTTTTTTCACCTGGCAGTAAAAACCATGGGAAAACTCAGGGGACACAGGCACCAAAGGAAACGACCAAAGGCAGCTTGTCAACGCTAGAGGGAGCCAAATGCATTACCATGGGTTTTCATCAACCCCCGCCGAGGAATCCAATCAGATATGATAATTGGCCTCAATAACACATACTGTCCCTGTCACAAAGAAACAAAACAAGTATCCAGAAAGCCTTAGAAATCCTAACCTCCCCGACAACTTGAAACATGGGAGAGAGAGAGGAGGGAGAGTGCTTGCTTGGAGCCCATTTTTAAAAGATAAAAAGTAAAAGTTCCTTGGGTTTAAATGAATCTTGCTAAAAAGGATCTATAGGAAGACAAAAACCAGTTCTTCCTTACTTTTCTCCGGCTTTAATCTGCATAAAAGCAATTTAGCCCCTTTTGATGCTTTTACATCTTCTTATAAAATCAAGTTCTGAAGAATTAAAGACATGAATGAGTGGATACAGAAGACATTACCGGTTTATGAGAGCAACATGACGCTGGCGTCATTTCTCAACTGGGACTTACTTCCCTTACTTTTAGACAAATAAAGGAATAGGGCTTCTGAACTCTCTTAGCCACATAAATCCAATGAAGAAGAGCTGACGAAGGAAGCTAAGTAGTGAGTCCTATCAAACTATTCCTATAAGACAGTTTGCTTCATTATTTTTGGAGTTTCTTTTGCCATTAAATTATGCCTTAAAGCAACCTTTCTACTAGTTTGTGTGAAGTGAGAAAATCTCCAAGACTCTCAACACTAGCAGAACTAAAAGTAAATCCTCGTCGTCTTTTCCTCTGGTAATTGAAAAGGTGTATTTTTACAAAATGTTTCATTATTCACTGACAGGCATAGGAAAATCTTATCATGTAAAGTCCAAATGAAATCATGAGTATTCTGAAATTTATCTTCACCCATTTTGCTCCAACAAAGAATACACTACAGGGGAGGAGGCGGTGGGTTCTTGATACAAAAGTATATTATATACCAACTTTCTCTTTGTTTCCTTCCAAAACGTATGGCCTTGGTTAAAGCAAGCAGGAAACCACAGTAGTAGTAGGGATGTTCCCAGCCCCTCAGAAATGGGAGTATGTCTTCTACAGGCTCTGTATATTTTATAAGCAATAGATATTGACATGGATTATGAAAGATTTTTTAAAAATTATAACAGATCTGGGTGTTTATTACTTGTAATATAACTGAAACACTTTGATGTCAATGTCTGATCTGGACAATTAAGGGTCATAATAATCTTTTGTTTATAAAAGTAGTTTGATTGAAGAAATATTGTTCTCAATTGTAAAGCTGTTTCAAAGAAGGGATGAAAATGCAGGTGCTAGGCAGTCTCGGTTTTCCAAAAATCGAAGTTTCTTTTACCAAAAGAAGGAAGCAGACAGGAATCTCAGTAGTAGACACTCACCTGGATAAAATCTGGGAACCGTTTCTTACAAGTTGGGCAGGTGAAGTAGCCATCATTGATATGAATGGCCACATGATCTTTCAACAAATCAAGGCGGTCAAAGGATTCTGGGCAAAAAATGCAAGAGTAAGTCTTCTGGTCTGAGTGGAGCTTCATGTGGCTCTCCAAGGATGCGCTGCTGATGAAGCCCTTGTTACAGAGGTCACAGGTCAGTGGGCAGTTCCCCTCCCGCCCATGGAAGCGCAAGTGCTGGTCCAGTTTGTCCTTTTCCCGGAAGGCCTTCCCACACTGCAAGCATTTAAAAGGCCGGAAGGACTTCCGAATAAACAGATGCTGAAGAGCTGCATTCTGAAAGACATACACAAATGTGATCATTTAGTGATGAAATTAAGAGTGCAACTGGATCACACTTTTACAGAGAAAGAGAGGATGATCTCTGCAAGCACAGACTTCCCATAGAAGTTCAACTCTAGGACACACACAGTTGAAAGATTTTTCTGGTGAAGACACTGAAAATGAAGCCATCCTCAAAGAAGTTCATCTTGAAAAGACGAAACTTTTTTGTGTTTTGTTTTACATCTATGTATGTGGGTTTTCTTTTGAAAGGGTTTAAGTAACACAAAAAAAGTGTTCCCAATAGAAGACTTGTATAATAAAACAAATCCCACACTGGAACAGGATAAAAATGGAAGATTTGGAGGAAAAGACTTAGGGTAAGTCACACATGCAGGAATCAGGCTGGAGCAAGTCAGCCAAATGTTACTTGTTGAAATCCATGAGAAAAAGAATTTGAAGCTTGATTAAAACGTTTAGGGGAAAAAAAAGACAATAAAAAGAACTGAAGGGTAGTCCTTGCCAGTGGCAGGGTGGAGAAGGAAATGGATACCAGGCATCTTTTGGGGGTGATGGATACCAGGCATCTTTTGGGGGTGATGGATACCAGGCATCTTTTGGGGGTGATGGAGGCCAGGTTTCTTTTGGGGGTGATGGATACCAGGCATCTTTTGGGGGTGATGGATACCAGGCATCTTTTGGGGGTGATGGATACCAGGCATCTTTTGGAGGTGATGGATACCAGGTTTCTTTTGGGGGTGATGGATACCAGGTTTCTTTTGGGGGTGATGGATACCAGGTTTCTTTTGGGAGGTGATGGGATACCAGGCGATCTTTGGGGTGGGATGGACACCAGGATCTTTGGGGTGAATGGATACCAGGCATCTTTTGGGGGTGATGGATACCAGGCATCTTTTGGGGGTGATGGATACCAGGCATCTTTTGGGGGTGATGGATACCAGGCATCTTTTGGGGGTGATGGATACCAGGTTTCTTTTGGGGGTGATGAAAGTGTTCTGGAATTAGAGAGTGGTGAAGATTGCACAACTTCAGAATATTCTAAAAACCACTTCAAAGGGTAAATTTTATGCCATGAGAATTATAGATCCCAATTCAAGAAAAAGAACTGAAAAGGATTCAGATTTATGTGAATGAGACATGAGCACACGTCATAAATGGAATATAAGCATTTCATCACTTTCTACTTAGAAAACAGAAGATAAGGTCCCAGCATAGCTAGTTAGTTCTACTGGTTAGAATGCCATGCTAACAAAGTTAACCTCATCACACTGTTCCCTGCCTAGACCAGGCAATTCTGCTGTTTGTTTTCAGGCACAGATTGCACTTGTAATGCTGATTAGCCATCTTGTAAATTCATGCAGTTGTTATAGGGAACCCAAGTGGGAGAGCATGGGTACTCGGTGCAAACCCATCACCACTACTGGGAAAACTACTCATGCTCTGCTGAGAGCAGATCGACAAAATCATCTCTCACACGGAGAATGCAGAATCAATCAATCTTTCAGTTACACTTATAATGAAGATTCATTCATAAGTTCCTCAAAACACTGAAGGAACGCTCTAGATTGCTACAAGGCGAGGGTGGGGGGTGGGGGAATCTTTCAAGTATGTCTGTGAATGGCTGTGCCTATGTAGCTATAAACGAACAGTAATTGAAGGATTAATGGAGATCTTAGTGCGATTTGTGTAATGAAGAAAGTGCAGTGAACAATGCTTACACTCTTAACTTCAAATTACTTGTAAGCATCAACCTTTAAACTAAATTTAATGTGAAATCATCATGTGAGGAAAACAAAATACTTTTGATTCAGTGAAATTTCTAGACATAATTACTATGTAACAGGAAATTTCCTTCTCAGGGCTTCCCTAACGGGGCTAGGAGAAAGATTTTTAAGCTGCTACCTAATCACTTATGTTGAGTAGATAAACAGCAATTCTGTTGTCTTCTTCAGCTCATGGGGCTGCCTCAGGGGATGTGTCATACTTTATTCTCCTTTATATCCAGATTCCTTAATAAGCTGCTTAGCTTATAGGAAGTCTTCAAAAGTAGTTTGAGAATCAGTGAAATATATTTCATATGAAACTAAAAAAAATGATTTCAAGGATTTTTCTATAGCATCTGCAGAGATTTTTAAGAATAGGTCTTTCTTGGCTGGGCACGGTGGCCCACGCCTGTAATCCCAGCATTTCAGGAGGCCGAGGCGGACAGATCACCTGAGGTCAGGAGCTTGAGACCAGCCTGGCCAACGTGGTAAAACCCTGTCTCTACCAAAAATTCAAAAATTAGCCAGGCGTGTTAGCAGTCACCTGTAACCCCAGGGCTGTAAACTCAGCTGCTTGGGAGGCTGAGGCAGGAGAATCACTTGAACCTGGGAGGTGGAGGTTGCAGTGGACTCTGTCTCAAAAAAAAAAAAAAAGCATAGTTTCATTCTCAAATCAGCCACAGGGCTTGCTTTCACATCTGTGCACAGTTCAGCAGCCACCTCATCTTTTTACTCCATCTGGATCCTAATTTTACATAAAAGCTTTACTATTTTGTCTACTTTCAAAACTTTACGGAAATACTGCAGATGAACCAATACTATTCTGAGGTTCAAAGGTACAAGATTTAGAGCACTTTTGCCATGTAGGAATCTTTTCCTTTATCTACGTTCACTGAAGTGTCCAAGGACAGATACAATGCACATTGATTGTGGTCCCGCTGAGGATGCCATTTCTCCTCAGGTGCCAAATCCAGAACTCAGTTTTGTTTTGGTCCATTATGCTAATCGGTCTTCTGTCATTTCTGATTAGCGCGAGTACCTTCAGACACTTGATTTAAACTGAGCCACCATCTGGCTCCACTTTCTTGGCTCTATTGACAAACCTTATCATCTTTTCAATTTCCATGGAGCCCTGAACATTGTCTATACTCAAGAAGTAGATTATATTTCTCTGATCTAATGATACTAATAGAATCGTTACAAGGTCGTAAAAATGCTGAAACTGTTCCCATCCCTTGACCCATTTGCAGGCCATTTCTGTTCTAAGGTGTCTTCTGTAGCTCAGAGCCACAGCCCGTACACATTTCTAGAAGAAATCATGAAAAATGTTGGAAAGAGCACATAGATCCACTCTAGTTCTTCTGCTCACTGAGTTCATCAGGCAATCCACCACACTATAAATATATATCAGCTACTCTAGGGATACCAAAATCGTATTGTTGCTAAACTCTGTGATTTGGGATTCAACTCACATTGCAGTGAATTCTGAGACAACGGATTATTTGTAGACAAAGATTATAAAATGTTTCTAAAGTTTAGGGGGTTTTTTGGTTTGTTTTTTAGAGATGGAGTCTTGCTCCATCGCCCAGTCTGGAGTGCTGTGGCATGATCATAGCTAACCGCAGCCTCGACCTCCTGGACTCAAGCACTCCTCCCACCTCAGCCTCCAGGGTAGCTGAGACTTATAAGTATATGCCACCATGCCTGACTAAAATGTTTCTAAAGTTTGATATTAATAGCTAAAAGAACCTAAATTATTGATCAATTTTCATACTATTTTAATCCTGACACAAAAAGGAAATCAAACAATCATATTTGTTGATTTGGGGTTTGGAGGGCTTTTTTTTTTGAGACAGGGTCTCACTCCATCACCCAGGCTGGAGTGCAGTGGCACGATCACAGCTCCCTGCAGCCTCAACTTCCCAGGCTCAGAGAATTCTCTCATCTCAGCCTCCCGAGTAGCTGAGACTACAGGTGCGTGCCACCGTGTCCAGCTATTTTTTGTATTTTTTTTTTTAGTAGAGACAGGGTTTCACCACGTTGCCCAGGTTGGTCTCGAACTCCTGGGCTCAAGCAATCCACCTGCCTCAGCTTCCCAAAGTGCTGAGATTATAGGCGTGAGCCACCGTGCCTGGCAGTTTTGGGGTCTTTTAAACAACTTTCCTTTGGACAATTGTCTGCCCACTTTCAAAGCCTTTGGTTGGCCATCCCTGCCCAACTCAGCTCACTCTGCACTGTCCTTCCAGTGCACCCTTGCCAGGGCCAGGCTCATGTCTGCACTGTCCGAACCACAGCAAGAACCTCCTGTGTCTGGGCCTGTGATCCTAAAGCTATCATTCTCTGAAACAGTCTACCTTCCTCCTCTCTCTCTTTCAAGGGCTAGTCTAAGTCTCACCTCAGCCAGGAATTATCCCGACTCCTCTATTTTACTTCGACTTTTCACTCTTCCAAGTTATACTTTCACATTTAACACCTAACCGTAAACTCCCCTACATTAGTACTGATTTCCTACTTAGACTGCAAGCTCAAGTGAAAATTCTATTGTGTACCCAGCACAGTGCCAAATAGACAGTTAGAACTCAACACCATTGCAGAAGTTATTCCAATGGTTTTAGCGCTGGAAGGGACCTTGGAGATCACTTAGTCCTACCCTTCATTTGGTATATGAGGAACCTGCAGCCCACAATTTATTCATTGATCTATTTACAATTAAATTATCATTATTTCATTAATTTGCATTTACTGTAGCAACCAAATTGTGGTTTCCACCAGGATTTAGTAAGTACAGGTTGCAAAGAACAGCAGGTCAGGCAAACACTTAAGTAACATTCTGTTATGTGAAACACAGGAAACAAACCTACCTGCAGCTCCAACTGAGCAGGCAGCATTAGAGGAGAGAAAAATAGTTACATTACCAATTGGATTGGAAGACTTCCCTTCAGTTGGTCATTACCAATCTGGATAGAAAAGATGAAAAAATACATAGCCCTGCTTTTTAGAATGTGTGAGAGAAAAAAAAAAAAAAACAAAATAGCTCAACTAAGACTGACCTCCAAAAACCAAATACATATGGCTTTTGCTTTGCCACAAGGAACCTTGTACCAAAACCAGTAACCCTGCTCATTCAAAAATGCAAGTACAACTATGGCTGGACTGTGTTTGTGCATCCACAACTTCACTGCATGTGTGGGCTTCGGGTTTTTTTCCTTCCAAAAAAAAAAAAAAGAAATCTAGCAAGCATTTCTCTGGACTTAGTAAAAAAAATCAGAATGGCAGAGCAGAAAATATAGTAACTGAGCAAGAGAAAGAAGTGCAGATTAGGAACTAAAGGAGAATGACGGATGGGATGACATTAATTCATAGCTTTTTTTCCTTGCTGTCCTATATTTCTGTATGTTGATATACTCTTGTGAAATAATATACAGTGAGCTGAGAGTTTTATATGTTTTGATTACAGGGCCCTCATAAAGGCTGTTTAGCCTCAGAGTTCTTAGAGCCCTTCAAAGCTATCAAATGTTTAAATGTGTTTTTACATTGACTACAAATGTTTAAATGTGTTTTTACATTGACTACAAATGTTTAAATGTGTTTTTACATTGACTACAAATGTTTAAATGTGTTTTTACATGAAGGCACGGACTAGACTATTTTTCAAAGTCCCTTCTAGCCTATAGGCAAATAAGAAGACCAAAAGAAACATACACTGAAACAATCATGCATGTAGAAATTGTACAGCCTAGGAAGTTACACAAAATGTCTCTTTCATCTACTGGAAAGTACCAGTAAGTCTTTATGCACTCAGCTGCCACAAACATGGGTTTTAAGTCATTGGTTTTTATCAGCACAGACACTTATCATCCCACAAAGCCATATTGTTTTCCACCGAATCCCCTGCAGTTCCTAACTCAGACTCAAATGCTATTTGTGAGATCAGAGAAAACGCATCTGAACTGCAAGTCAGGAAAGCCCTGCAGCCGCGTGGCCTGAGGCCAAGACGCAAGTCACGTGACTCAGACACGTCACGTGACTCAGACACGTCACGTGACTCAGACAGGTCACGTGACTCAGACAGGTCACGTGACTCAGACACGTCACGTGACTCAGACACTGACTCACTCTCCGACTGACAGCTTTGGCTCAAGCTATCCCCAGGTGTGTGAACTGTACCTGCCATATCAACTTGGACACAGGTCACTTTACATTGATGAGTAATGACATTTGCCATTCTCCCCTGGGAAGGTGTAGATAAGCACATTTAGTTACCCAAAATTAACTTGAGAGCTATGATTAGGCACAAATTAGCCTGGTTTAAAATATAAATGATTATTATAACTAAATGTACTTATTTCTCCACTTCCAATCTGTGAATTGAGGGATGCAGAGAGCTAGTCCAGGAGCTGCCAACCTCTAGGCCTCTGTGTCATTACTAAATTGGTTGAATCTAGGACCAGCCATGCCAGCCTGCCATGGGGCACTGAGACATTGAGAAATAATGGGATCTTTCGAAATAATGGGATCGAGCACGTGACGGGCTAGATGCAAGATTTCAGAGTGGACGGTGAATAGGTTGGAAAACCACCAGAGAGCTGCTAGTGGGAGGAAGATCACCGGCAGGTGCAAGGAGCCGCCGGCTTTCCCCACTTACTCGGATGCGCTTGGCTCTGCGCATGTCGTCGGCTGTCAGCGTGCTCTGGGTGGGCACCACGCTCTCTTCATGCTGCGGCTGCAAATGCAGGGTGTGAGTTTCTGGTTCATGTTCCAGGGAAGACTGGGTTTCTTGTGGCAGCTGAGGGATTGGGATAGTGGTCTGTTCTGGTTGATCCAGCCCATTCAGAGTGGCTGGTTCAGCCTCATCAAATTGCTCCTTTGTGGGAAAATGTAGCAAGTCCTGAAATTTGAAATAACCAGGAATAGAGATCAGTGCCAGAGGGACTGTCGGCTCAGATTTAGAATTGCTGCTTATTTAGGAATGACTAGATTCATAATACTCAGAAAAAATATTCTCCCTCTGGGAAAGTTAATTAGGTAACTATGCACAGAAGGCAAAAGCAGGATAGGTTCCAGACCACTTAACAAGGAAAAGACTGTGATCTGACTTTTCTGGAATATCAATAATTTTAATTGTTTAATTAAACAAAGTCCACCTCTACTAACTCTGGTCAATTTTATAGAGCGGCAAAGTTGGGTTTTTGTTGTAGGTAACACTTGAAAATACATTCTTTTCTGGCATTCTCCAATCATGCTTTAATTAACAGGCAGCAAGCTCTGATAGGAAAGGTCTACAAACATTGGGAAGGTCTTTGTACTTAGATCTTGTCAGGGATCTGGCAAGTCCTCCACACAAGCATCTAAGGAGGGCTCCTTCCCATCCCCCTGTACCTGTGTCCCATCGTCACTCTTTTCCCCATTTTCGCTGGTGATTTCCAGGCGGATAAATTTTGGAGGACGCCCTGGCCGTCGACCTGGACCAAATCGCCTCTTGCCTCGTCCCCTTCCTCTGCCTCTTGTTCTGGGGACAACAGATTGGGTTACGGGTTGTCATGGTTACATAATATTCCATAACAAGTAGTGACCTAAATGATTCTTACTAACCCCAGAGTATGATTCCTCTCACCTTATTACTTTCCCAGATTTTCTCCAATGGAAACAACTGTTTTACTAATATACACTTTCTGAATGTCTCATCCTTCCCCTCTATTACAGCTTAAAGATATGTCTTCAATTATTCTGAAGAAAAGAGCTATAAACATTCAAATCACTGACAATATTTTGCTTCTGAAACAATGTGAGAAAGGCAGACAGGACAGAACATGCTAAGCCTTCGAGTGTGTTCCCAGGAGATGTCATCTGAGACAAGATTCCCATTATTTCTCTTTCTCCCCTGGCCTCGTGTCATATTCCTTCTAAGAAACGTGGCCAAATTCAAACAGCTTTCTCGTTTTACTACAAGCCTCTGGGAGGTCGGAACAAATTTCTAATTCAATTGTTTCATAACATGCCTAGTAAACATCAATTAAATTTTACATCCCCTTTAATGGATTTTTTTAAATTAATTAATTAATTTTTTTTTTGAGACTAGGTCTTACTCTGCTACCCATGCTGGAGTGCAGTGATGTAATCATGGCTTACTGCGGCCTCAACCACCTGGGCTCAAGCGATCCTCTAACCTCAGTGTCCCAAGTAGCTGGGACTACAGGCATGTACCACCACGCCCAGCTAATTTTAATTTTTTGTAGAGACAGGGTTTCACCATGTTGCCTGGGCTGGTCTAGAACTCACGCAATCCTCCTTCTTGGGCCTCCCAAAGTGCTGGGATTACAGGCACGAGCCACCATGCCTGGTATGAATTGCCAGCAAACACAAATTCCTTAATAAAAGAGGCTTTAAAAAGTAGGTTATGAGAGCTTCTTTTAGAAGATATGTATGTGGAAAGCGTACAATGTCAATGAGATCAAATTTTATCCTTCCACTCATTTATTTAATAATTTAACAAATACTATATATTTTTTCCAGGAACTTTTAAAAGACTCTTCATGTTGGAAAATTCTGAACCTAGGTAAATATAGAGAATAGCATGATAAGCCCAATGTACCCATAACCCAATTCCAACATTTTTCAACCCATGGTCAACCTTTTCCATCTATATCCCCACCACTTGCCCACATACATACCCAGTAGATGATTTGGAAGCAAATCCCAGGTATCTTTTCATCTCTAGATATCTTGGCATGTCTCTCTGAATCATAAGGACTCTTTATATATATATGAGCACAATACCATTATCACACCTAAGAAATACCTGATAGTTGCTGAGTATTATTATATCCAGTCAAAGTTTAAACCTTCCTAGTTATCCCAAGTTTCTCTTAACAGTTGGCTAACAAACGTATTACCTACTGTGTATCACATACTGTGCTAGGCACTAAGGACATCAGATTACACACAACAGATTTTACCCTCAGGGCTCTAGAAGAGGGAGGTGGCATATAAACCAAAAATCACAATATAAAATAAAAAGTGCTACAATAGAGCCACCAACAGAGTTTTGGAGATACCCAGGAGTGAGTGACTCAAATCTCACTGTGTCCACCCCCCCTTAGACATTTACCCCTGTGGTCACATTCTAGACCCTGTCACCCTTATAAGCCTCTTCACGCCAATCCCATGCACTGCCCACTCGGGCACTACCCTGGCTCTGTAGTTTACTCCCTCTGGTACAAGCACTCAGCAACCCTTCGGCCATGCAAGCATCTCCAATCCAATCCTTCTGGTGCTCCTGTGCAGCTCTGCACCACTGCCTTGATGTTCTCTCCCCTTTTTCCACAGCACACACTCCACGGTCATCCATGGGAACTACTCCCTTGTGCGTACTCTCAGTTCCCATCCCACAGCTGCTCTGTTTTCTCAATGTGTGTTATGAGCACTTGGCAAAGCCACAACCCTGTGTAATCCAATTCCTGCCCGCTCTGCACCAGCATCCTTGCAGCTGAATGAAGCTGGAGAAAAACGCACAGTCATGCGAGTGGGTTCACTTCCATTTCGTAACCATGAACCCCAAGTGGGCATTTAATGTAGTGGGCAATTGTATGGTACTTCCCTAGAACATTCACTTTCCCACTTACCTAACTACCATCTCACATGTCTCCTCTCTTTCCAAACCCTGGAAAAGCTGGCAACCCTACATCTGTCCCCCTGGCACGACCCTACTCCAAACCACCCTCATTCCGATCCCAAACTGTTGTGATAGATGCTAACAGGACTCCTTGTCTTCACTCTTACTCCAATATAAGCTGGTGGTTATTTTTTTCCAGGTGTTATTTTTATCCAAAATGGTTTTCAAAAAAATACAATCAACATCACAATACTCCCTGACCAAAACCCTCTAAAGACTTCTCATCACACTTGGAATAAAATCTAAATTTCTTACCATTTCCCATAAGGCCCTACCTGATCTGGCCCCTGCCCCCTTCATCCTATACAATTCTCCCCTCAGCTGTCTTTTTTATACAGTGGAATTAAACATATGACTTGGTTTGATTAAGTAATCGTACTGCTGAAAAAAGTCTGAAAATCAGAGATCCGGATTATTTTAAAAGTAGGTGCTATCTCAAAAATTCCTATTTCAGAATCTCCAGTTAAGGGAGATTTACCTAAGATGAAAGGATCTCCCATTGCTGGGTACTGGTTATGCTGGAAAAGATGGATAACAGTAAATGAGGAGCAGAGGGAAAAGGAGATGACAGGTAACACCGTTCCCTCAGTAGCCCACCTGGTTACCTGTCTACACATGACACTTGGAGACACTCATTAGCTAGTGGACAATACAGAAATGATTCTGAACCTTTATAAGCTCCGTCTGTGGGCCTTTCTCCCTCATACCTACCTGCTAAACACATCTAGTTTCTCATCATGAGAATTGAGATGCTGTTGCAACTGCTCCGAGCTTATAAATCGGCGGTTACATTCATAGCAGGGCCAGTTCTTCTCTTGCTCCCGAAGAACTACAGTCACAGAAGAGAAATCATGAAGGCTGATGATCAACAGACACCAATACAACTCAAATGCCTGTGATCCCCACCATTCTTATCTTGCTGCAGCCCAAAGCATTCATAGCTATACAGTATCTGCTATTTGCATGACTGTTTTGTTATCAAATCAAAAGCTAAAACTTGGCAGAGAGTTGCTTTTTAGGATCTTACTTTCTAATGCATCCATGCAAGGCATCAAAGGAACAAATACCCTCACATCACCCTCTCGCAGCCCTCAAAACACGCACACGACTTCACTGCACCAAAAACACATGAGATGTTACAAAGATCTGTATTCAGATAGCCTAGTATTCAGACCCAGGTTTCATAATCTGAGGGTATGTTTTAGAACAAATAACTTAAAACTCAATGCCCAGTATAATCACTTCAGCAAAATGCTCAGAAGCACCCCCTAAGTTGAATATAGGCGTACTCCATGACCCAGCAACTCCACACCTAGACACATACCCAACAGAAATGTGCACATAGGTTCACTAAAAGACATGTCAGAATGCTCGCAGCAGCACTCTTCAAAATAGCCAAAATCAAGAAACAATCTTATTGTTTAATAAAGAATCTGCCTGGTCTTTTTCCCTAGTTGGTAACCTTTAAGTCACTGGAATTTCCTGAGTAATAGGAGTGTCTTTGTTATTCATGGTGTCCCACCCCACAAACATACCCAAATGTATTCTAATGAGATGCTTCAGAGCAGGGACAGGCCATGCAGGAAAGCTCAACCATGTAATTGGAAATGTGGGGCTTTGAGCCAGGGGTTATCGGCCTGACCTCATGGAAGGAGGAGGAGAAGGGGGAGCTGGCAGTCAAGCTTGATCACCTGGACAATGATTGAATCAGTTATGCCTGTGTCATGATGTCTCAATAAAAATGCTGGACACTGAAGCTCGGGTGAGCTTCTATGGTTGGGAATCATATATCAATGTACCAGGAGGGTGGCATGTCCTGAGGACATTTTGGGGCTTCCCAGACCTCACCATATGCATCTCTTCATTTGACTGGCCCTAATATATAAAAATCATACATTTTAATATATTAGATATATAGATCTTTACATTATAATAAATATAAAGGATTGTAACAAAATGGCCATCGTTAAGAACAGCTCTTTTCCGAGTTCTATGAGTCATTCTTGTGAATTATCAAACCTGAGGAGGTACCGGGAACCTCCTAACCTGTAGCTAGTTGGTCTGGGGCTTGGGACCTCCAGAGCCTGCAGCTGGTGTCTGAAGTCTTGACTGCCCTGAGCCTGTGAAACTTGACCTAACTCTGGATAGTGTCAGAATTGCATTTCACAACAAAATCTACAGTAAAATGGAAAAATCAATTGTTTTATATTCATACACCAGAATACCAAATAACAACGAGAATAAATAAATTATAATTATATACACCAACATGGATGAATCTCACAAATACCATGTTTAGCAAAAGATGCCCAGGCACCAAAAGGGTACATATCACATAAATCTATTACGCACAGTTCGATAACAAGCATATCTTATTGTGCGGTACTAGAAGTCAGGAGAGAGTACTTAGGAGTGAGTAGGAATTAGAAGGCAGCACAAAGAAACTTCTGGGGCACAGTAATGCTCTGTTTCTTGATCTGGGGGCAGGTTACATGGGTGTGTTCACTTTGTGAAAATTTAAGCTGTATACTTACAATGTGTGCAGCTTTCTGTATATAGATTATACTTCAGTGACATTTGCATTAAAAACAAAGCCAATGCCTGCCTTGGTATATCCTCAGAGATGATAAAATCTGGATAGGAATCGTCCTCTGATCTAGGTTCTAATTTGGCATTTGGAAGTTTTCATTATATTAAATATTATTTTCCAGCACACATGAAAGAAATGTAAACGTCATTGTAATTTGACACTGAATTAGATGGAGATGTGTGTCTCCAAAAAACCTACTGGAATAGTTTCTGAAATATACTGAGACAAAAAATTAGAGGTTTCATAAAGATGTGATATATACAATTTAGAATTCATATAGAAAATGTAAAACATAAACGTCTAACCACCTTTCCTTTCTTCCTCAGAAATGTCATGAATTTTCTGGTTCACGAACTCAGCATAGGACGCGGCATACCACACCTGCAAGAAGCAAGTATATCATCAAGAACTGGGGACATCACCAGATGTTCCTCACATGCTTACATTATTTCTCCTGCTTCCAGGAAACAATTCAGGCTTTTCCACAGCCCATTAACAAAGGAAAAAAAGATCACGCTGTGAGCTCCCCTTGCAATACCTTTCCAGCAGATCAGTCAGGAAGTTCATTTGCCAAGACATACTGCCTGTTTTTTCTTTTTCAGAAAATAGTTACTGTTACTAGAATAACTTCACAGGAATTATAATCATAGTCTCTTCAACTAAATAAAACAGCCTCCTCTGATTTCTTATCTATATTTAAACACCGGTTTTTACAGGGTTGCAGTTACAGTGGTTGCCACCAAACACCCCTTACTGGAGTCACCAATGACAACTTCAAAGGCAACCACCTTCTCCCGCCCACCCACTGGCTACTTCTGATCACTCTGTTTGCCTCTTTTTTTTCTCCCTAACTTCTACATATTGGTGTGGCTCAAAGCTTAGTTAGAGTGTACGGCCTTCTTATTTTGACTTCAGGTGGCCACTTTCATTTCCAACCAACTCTATGCTAATGACTCCCAGATTAATATCTCCATCCCAGACCCTCTTTCTCTGTTCCCTCTGAGTGTGTCTGACTGGATGTTTTGGATGTCTCACAAACAGATGAAACTTAGCATGGAATGGAATGGAATTCTCAATGCTTTCCAACTCACGCCCCCACCCATCTTCCCCATCTTGATGAATACCTTCCACCCAGCTGCTCAGACTTGAAACCAAAGGTGCCTTTGATTTCTCTGCTTGCTTCCATATGCCTTTAGCAAGGACTGCCGCTCCCTCAGGTGTTCTCCATCCCTACTTTTGCCACCCTGATGCATGTCAAGACCATTTCTTGCCTGGATGATCACTTGGCCTTCTGACTGGCCTCTCCTTTTCTCTGCAATCTACACAGTAGCCAGAGTGGTCTCAAATCCCAGTTACCCCAGTTGGATCATTACACATCATATACAGGCATCAAAATATCACATGTATCCCAAAAATATGTACAACTAATATGTATCAATAAAAAGAACACACAATCAGATCTTGTCATGCAGGCAATGGCTTCTCATCTCAGAGTAAACCTGAAATACTTGATAATTTCCAAAGGGCTCCACAATCTCCCCAACCTGGAAAAGCAACCTCAGCCCTTGTCAGTCCCCCTGACCCACGCTTCAGTCAACAGGGCCTGCTTTCAGCTGCTCAAACATGCCCAAGTCCTTCACCACCCCAAGCATTCAGCCCTGCTGTTTCACCCTCACCCCTGCCATAACCCTCTGTAGTGCTGGCCCCATTCCATAGTTCTCAGCCTCAGCAGTGCCTCGTCAGCAAGGCCTTCCCTAACCATCACATCAAAATCGGTCCCTTCTTGTTACCTGCTCTTTCTGCACCATCTGTTTCCTTCATGGAACTTACCCCATGAGTTATGATTTGCTTGTTTACATCTTTCTGTCCATTTCAGCTCTAGAATAAAGGTTCCCTGAACACAGGGAGCCAGTCTGTTTTCTAGGGTCTCAAACACAGTAAGAGTTCAATATATCAATTACTAAGTGAATTAATCATATACAATTTTATGGATTATTTTATATATATGGAAATACTTATAAAGACACTTTTTTTTTTACTGTGGAATAGACTACATAGTCTGTATTCTATAATTTAACTAACTATGCCCCTGTAGTTGTACTTTTAGATGGATTATCATTTTACTATTATAAATCTTACCCTAATCTATTAATTCCAAGGTGTATTTTAAAATATTTTCACAGGTCAGATGTCAGGATGTGTTTCACACTCTAGGGCCTTCTACAGTCATGGCCACGATGGAGCTCTTGCTACCTGCCTACTGTTCCTGCACAAACCTGGTCAAGCTCTTTGTACTGTTCTCACCTCATTCTGTTATAAGCCCACTGACACCTCATGAGTGGACACTTGCCAAGCAATGCAAACGAAGGCCAAAAAGCTCTGTCATTTCCCTGAGAACAAACACAAGAAATCTGAAAGCCATGCAAGGCTGGTGTGCGTCCTGCAGGGCTTCTCAGTAAGGCATCAGCTGTCAGAAACTTCCTACAGACTTGATCCGAAACCTCTCCACGTCCAAGGATATGTGATTCAATTGAGGAAAAAGGCACAGATGAGTTCAGTCAAATGGGAAAGCACAGTATCAAAACTTGCAGGAAGGTGATCAGTGGCTTGAGGCAACATCCCAGGGGCAACAGCAGAGCACTTATTTTTAAAATATTGCAGCTGCATCAACACTCTCGATGGCACAGAAGATGAGAGCACACAGAAAGGCTCCAACATCCACAGTGAAGTCAAACAGTGATGCAGGAAAAAGAATTCAGGCTCTGCACACAAAGCAGTTTATACCTCAACCAATTTATTTTGCTTCAGTGTGTCTTTTTATGAATGCACAAGTATGATATAATTTTTAAATTATGTCAAAATAAGTCTAAAATAGCTCCTTCTAACCATTTTTTATTTTTAAAAAGCACTATAATAGGTAGCATTTTTTTCTTAATGATGCATAAAATAATAGTGTATCCTAAAGTCACTGGTATCTTAGAGTCAGTAAAATACAGTAGAGTCTAGTACTGTCTTCTTTTTATAACTATTTCCTCAGATTAATGTTCAATGATTAGATTTACCCAGCCAAGAACACTTTTGCTATATACTTCCAGAAATGTTTTATGAAATGCAATTCTACAATTAACATTCCTAGTTTTTAAACATTCACATTCATTGTACTGTATCCATTTATTTTTGCTAATTTAAACATAAATAGTAGCTCATAGTTATTTTGAGGGTTTTTTAAATTATTAACGTTGAAAATTTTTTTTGACTTTTTAAAGTTCCAGGGTATATGTGCAGGATGTGCAGGTTACACAGGTAAACATGTGCCATGGCGATCTGCTGGACTTATCAACCCATATGTAGGTATTAAGCCCAGAATGCATTTGCTATTTTTTCTGTTTTAAAACTTTTTTTTTTCCTATTTGTTTCCTCCTCCAGATAGTCAACTCCTGACATTTGTTCATTTGTCCCTCTGGGGGTAGTGAGGTCTGTCAGTTTTCAAAGTTGAACTTTTTAATGTGTATTACAAATATTTCCCCCATTCTGTTGTTTCCTTTTTATTTGTTTTATGGTTGTTCATTAGACTGAACTATTATATTCTTATTTGTTTCTCTCCAACTTTATAGTTCTATCTACTGGTTTCAAAGAGGAAATCTCCCCTTCACAGTTAAAAAATATTCACTTCAGTTTCTTCTCTAATCAGGAATTTATTGGGATACATGGTATGAGATACAAATCTCCTTTTACATGCTTTCTTCAGGGTTAATGGATTCTCTAGCTGATGGTTTCAAAAACAGAGGTTCTGCATACCTTTTTAACAAAATCCAGGATTCTTTCTCCCTCAAAAGAGGTATCAATTTCTAATTTGTACCATATGCAGGCACTGTGCAATTCAGTGTTTGTGGACTTACATGATCATTTCATTTTTAATTTATATCAGGAAGCTAAAGAGTATTTTGATCCCCTCTTTTGGCATGTTCTTAATATAAATTTTATTTTAAAAAAGGAATTTTCATTAAGAATCATAGCAAAATTCTGTTATGTCATCAAGAATTATTTTTTAGATAAATTTCAATAGTTATTACTCAAAAATATATTTCTGAAATCAGAAGTCAGCACACAGGATTCTTTGAGTGAAACATTCACACACAGAAAAAAATCTTGCTCATACATCTAAACATCTTGCCCCTACATCTAAAAATCTGTTTCCCAACTATGGAGTGTGTAAATGAAGTTAACCCACATCTTTAATCACTTCGTCACAGATACAGACGCGCTCCTGTCAATGGTTTGACTTACAATTTTTTGACATTACGATGTTGCAAAAGTGAGACGCGCTCAGTAGAAATCGCCTGAGTGCCCATACAGCCATTCTGCTTTTCACTTTCAGTATTCAATACATTATATGAGATAGTAAACACTTTATTATAAAAGAGGCACTGTGTTAGATAATTTTGCCCAACTGTAGGTTAATGCAAGTGTTCTGATTACATTTCAGGCAGTCCAGGCTGAGGTATGATATTCGTAGGTTGAGTGTATTAAGTACATTTTCAGTTTACAATATTTTCAATCACAATGGGGCTTATTGGGATCTAACTTCATCATCGGTAGAGGAGCATCTATACCGGTCTACTCCCCAAAACAACTACCTCTTTACCCCGGACCTCATGCTTTCACATTGGCTCTGCACAATCTCCTGGTTCAAGTGATTCTCCTGCCTCAGCCTCACAAGTAGCTGGGATTACAGGCACCCACCATCACACTCGGCTAATTTTTGTGTTTTTAGTAGAGACAGGGTTTTGCCATGTTGACCAGGCTGGTCTTGAACTCCAGACCTGAAGTGATCCAACCGCCTCAGCCTCCCAAAGTGCTGGGATTACAGGCGTGAGCCACCATGCCCAGCCTCACAAAGGCCCTTTGATAAGCATAAAAGTCATATACTTTTCATCCTATTTGCAGGATTATGACAGTGTATGCTACATGGTGGCTACTCAGTAAGTATGTGAATAAGCAGGAAATGACTTTTTTTTTTTTTTTTTTTTGAGAGGGAGTCTCACTCTGTCGCCCAGGCTAGAGTGCAGTGGCCGGATCTCGGCTCACTGCAAGCTCCGCCTCCCGGGTTCACGCCATTCTCCTGCCTCAGCCTCCCGAGTAGCTGGGACTACAGGCGCCCGCCACCACGCCCGGCTCATTTTTTGTGTTTTTAGTAGAGACGGGGTTTCACCGTGTTAGCCAGGATAGTCTCGATCTCCTGACCTCGTGATCCACCCGTCTCGGCCTCCCAAAGTGCTGGGATGACAGGCTTGAGCCACCGCGCCCGGCCGACTTTTTTTTTTTTTTAAAAAAAACAAACCCACTTTAGGGAAATAAACTTGCAAAAAGCCCTAAACAATCACTCTTGCTAGTAAATAGCCGCACGGGTCTGGCAGCGCTGTACCTTCAGTTCCTGCTTGGGCTCCACATTTTTTATGGTTGTATAATACACATGGTGGCCATACTGGTAAGCCACCAGGTTCTGTTCCAGGTGATTCTGGGCTGGCCGCACAAACATCATCCAGTTACAAAGCGTCTCATCCGACAACTCAAACCATAGGTCCTCATGTAAATCCCTGTCTTTTCTGTCCCCTTTATCAAGAGAAACCTGTACGAAAAAAAAGCCACACAAAAAACAAAAAAAAACCTTCAATATGAGACACATTTTACAATGTCACAATACACAAAGTATTGCTCCTAAAAGTAACCATACATCCTGGCTCTTCCCTTTGTATCTGCAAAAATCCTAGACCTATGACTGGCCAAATGTTAAAGGGAAAAAATACTTTCTGCAGCCTCAACTGTAGGAAAATTACCTGGCAAAATCTTAAAGTTAATCTAATTGCGTAGCTTTAGCTAATCTTTCACAAAACATGACCAAAAATGCTATAAATATGCCAGAAAATGCAAGCAAAATACTCTCCAGTTCATTACAATTTGCCTCCTTTTGGGGTTTCATTGCATTCATTTATAATAGGCAGCCCAGGGACAGGCATTTCTCTTTACAAAGTAATATTCTTGCTTGGAGGTTTTGAGAACACAAAGAAAACCTCCCCGCGACAGCAGATGACTTGTTAAAAAACGCATCCCAAATATTCACCCCTTCCCACTGCCCTTCCCTCGTTCTCTGGGGCGGTTACACGAAGCAAGGAGCAGAGAGGGCTGGACAGAAACACAAGGGTCAGCTGCAAAGAGATGACTATAAACATACTTCACCATACAGGGAGCTATTCTTTAACCAGAGTCTACAGGTCAGACCTGTTTCAAAACTGGAAAGTGGTTTTCTTGCAAACATTGCTGGCACACAGCAGATTACATTAAGCCTACATAATTCTCTTTGCATTCCAGTCAAAATTATTTTAAATACAGCAAGCAAGCCCCTGTGATGGGCTGAACTGTGTCTTCTTCAAAATCCACGTTGAAGCCCTAACACCCAGTACCTCAGGCTGTGACTGCATTTGGGGACAGGACTTTTAAAAGGGTACTTAAGTTAAAATGAGGTCATTAGGGTGGGCCTTAATCCAAACAGGACTGGTCCTTATAAGAAGGGAAGATGGGCCAGGAGAGGTGGCTCAGGCCTGTAATCCTAGCACTTTGAGAGCCCAAGGCAGGAGGATCACTTGAGCTCAGGAGTTCAAGACCAACCTGGGCAACATGGCGAGACCCTGTCTCCATAAAAAATACAAAAATTAGCCAGGCGCGGTGGCTCATGCCTGTAATCCCAGCACTTTGGGAGGCTGAGGTGGGTAGATCATGAGGTCGAGAGATCGAGACCATCCTGGCCAACATGGTGAAACCCCGTCTCTACTAAAAGTACCACAATTAGCTAGGCTTGGTGGCAGGCACCTGTAGTCCCAGCTACTTGGGAGGCTGAGGCAGGAGAATCACTTGAATCCAGGTGGCAGAAGTTGCAGTGAGCCAAGATCGTGCCACTGCACTTCAGCCTGGTGACAGAGCGAGACTCCATCTCAAAAAATAAATAAAATAAAATACAAACATTATAAATAAATTAGAAGGGGCAATTAGGACGTGGATACACATACAAGCACCGAGGAAAGACTCTGTGAGGACATAGTGACAAGGTGGCTTTCTGCAAGCCAAGGAGAGAGGCCTCAGAGGAACCCAACCTCAAACTTCCAGCTTCCAGAACAGTGAGAAAATAAATGTCTGTCGTTTGAGCCTCCCAGTCTGTGGTATTTTACTATGGCAACCCTAGAAAACTACTGTAGCCCCTCAGAATAACTCATCTAATGCTTTCAGGGACTAAAATTGTAATCTCCATCTCATTAGTGAGTTGCCATTTAACCAAATTAAGATAGAAAGAAGAATACTAGCAAACAACCGCTAAGGAACAGGAATAAGAGACTCAGCAGACAACGCAGTGCTCCTTGAAACACGGCTGAAGAACAGGAGTGAGGTGTGATAAAGCATAAATTACCTTGAGGTGAATATAACAGTCTTTCAGCTCCGAGCCCCTGACGAGAGGCCCCTCCACGGGGCCGAACTGGGTGCGCTTGGGGATGCGCCGCTTGGAGAACACGCCGCCCAGAAACCTGTCTATGTAGAGCACCAGGGGGAGGCTCGCCCTCGCACGGGTGAGCACCGGCCGGTTGGGGATCGGGTGCAAGGGGCCATGCTTTGGGCACACTGAAGAATGCGCGTTATTGCACTCTTCACACCCTGCAAAAGAGAGAGAGTCTTGAAGAAAAGTCCAATTCCTCAGTATAACTTGATGTGAGGTAAAAAATTCTGACCTGAAAAATCCCTATCTGCGTTTTCAAGCCAAAATGCAATGAACTCCTAATGGTGCTACCCGTTCAATGGTAATTCACTCTCTCTGGTAGACCAGTAGTCCCAGCTACACCTGTAGTCCCAGCTACTCGGGAGGCCGAGGCAGGAGAATCGCTTGAATCGGGGTGGCAGAGGTTGCAGTGTGCCGAGATTACAGGAAAAATCCTGTAATTCTCCTCTAACATCAGACAGAATTTGCTTATGCCTGTCACAAACAACCAGCAGGCCACGACTGACTTCTCTGCTGGAGAGTCCTTTGAATAGTGGCCACTACATTTACAAATCACATTTACAAATCAATTACAACAAGAGTAAAAAGAGCTTATCAGGCTAAATGTTGCACTATCTGATGAGACAAAAGAGGTGAATTTTATCGTATGCCAATAATCTCAATAAAACTTCCGCTGCCGAGGGGCTAGACTGCCTGAGCTGGAGTCCTGACCCTCAAAGTGTTGGCACAGCCCTGGGAAAGTTACCCACCTCATGGTAGGGCCATGGAGGGCAGGAAGGAGGCAGTAGACGCAGGGCACCCACGCCTGGGATAGAACGGCATTCTTAAAAGGCTAGCATGGAAGAGGCAAAGCAGCGAGGCAAACGTGTTAAAGCTGCAGTGGCTGAAGAGCGCGGGATCGGGCACATCTACCATGGTGGTTTGGTAGCTGAAGCTCTGGTGTGAGAGACCTCGGCTCGGCTGCCTGATGCCCCTTCGTCCCTATGTGACCCTGAGCAAGTTTCCCAATCTTCTGAGCTTCAGTTCACTCATCAGTAAAATCAGAAAACGAAGAAGAGTGTCCCTCAAAGGGCTGCAGTGAAGGCCAGGTGGGATGATGCAAGCAGAGAATGTGGCACAGTGGCTGCACACGGAAGAACCTGGTTCACGGGAGCTACGTTCACACACACACACACACACACACAGGCAAACACACACACACACACACACAGGCAAACACAGACACACACACAAGACAGACACAGCTTCCCTGGGGGAGTCCAGTGCCCACACTTACATAAGTCGTGCGGGTCAAAGGGCCGGGGCGGGTCTGGCTCCCAGTCATCCAGATCTGTGTCCTCTCCGTCTTCTTCCTCATCTTCCTCAGTGTCCTCATCCTCATCCTCATCCTCTTCCTCTTTGGCCTCCAGTCTGCCTAGAGGGGTCTGCAGAGTTGCCAAAGGGTCGGAGCCATCCACACCCTCGATGGAAGGCAGCACTTGGTTATGCACTGGCAATGAGGCCTGGGCAAAAGGTGAAGGCACAGAGTAAGCAGACATGGACACCTGCTTTCGGTTCGCTGGTGCCCGCTGGCAGAAACAGGGCGCAAGCGCTGGGTGGAATCTAGTCTTCGTACCAGCTCCTTCCAGGCCCTGGAAAAATGACTTCCTTCCACAGGCTGTGAGGAAGCGCTGGCTTCATTTTTGATCTGACTGCTCACAGCCTTTAACCCCCGCCCTCCCTCTGCCCTTTCGGTCCCACACCTGGGCAGGCTGCTAAGAAGGCTCAGGTGCTCCCTCCTTTGGCAGCGGGGGAGATTCAAAACTGGCAAGGCCCTGGCCACCTGCGCACTGACCCCACCCCTTAAACTCAGGAAAACCTGGTCTCTGCCTGGCTCATTCAGGCCGTTTCACACTGCTTGAGGGGCCTGCCCTGTCTCCCAGAGACTTCAGATAGGTAAGCAACAGACCGTTTCAGTGTGTGCACATGTGAGGCACCATCGGTTTCCACATCTGAACTAAACCTGGGGTGGGGGGTCCCTCTTGCCTTTCCAGAGTGGTCCCACCACAGTGGAGGGGGGACATGAGTTGACCTAACCTCAACCACTTGTCTTTTAAAACTCAACACGTCGTGCAACACATGGTTAACAAAGTTCAATAGCTCACAGCCCTCCTTTCCAACAGCTCAGGCAGGCTGAGGTTTTTAAGTAAGAATAAAAGAGATGAGATGCCTGTTTGTTTCATCATGCTGAAGTCAGTCTCCTGCAAATAAGACACAGCTTGGGTCATGTATTAGGTTAATGCTCTCTTATCAAATATCCTGGCAGAAAATGGTACCTGAAAAAGTTCTCCTGCCTCCAATCTAAGTGTTACGGGATTATACACTGGCCTAGAATCCCTTTATTCAGTCTTGCTCTCCTGACCAATTAGCACAAGGTCATACTCAAGCCATGTCCTAGTCAATAAATAAAGGAAGCTTTTAAAGATGCCACTTCCTTCATCTTCTCATATGTTGTTTTCCTCACCTAGAATACTCTTTCCTCAGCAACCTTCTAAATCCTACCACATTCCAGTTTCCCAGTGAACCGCCTCTGATGCCTCCAGCCCTCCCTGAGTCTCCTCTGCTCTGAACTCCTGCAGCCCTTGGAGCCATAGAATCCCTCTCACAACAGCATTCAGCGTCTGCTTCCACACTTCATGACCTCACCAGGCAGCCTGAATCATTCTGGAATAGTTCTATGACATTTTCTGTGGAGCCCAGATCTTCCACGCTTTGGTCGGGGCCCAGGACTTTCCTCTGGAGGTCGGTAGAATAAGCGTAACCCTTCTGCCACAAGAATCAAATATCTGAAGGCCAAAAACTCCTAATTCATTCAGTCATTTCTCAAATGACCAAACTCCCAGCTCCCTGATCATCTTGTTGTCTTCATTTATTTTGCAGTGGATTCCATATTTTTATTAATACAACATCAGGGTGCATTAGTGTTTACGCTGGCCACATTGTTCTACTGCAGACCCATCTTGAACCTGCAGGTAACTAAAATTCCTAAGTCCTTTTTTCCCTACATAGAGTGCTATTAAACCATTTTTCCCCTCCTCAGGACTTCAAGAGCTGATTTTTACTTAAATGGGGGATTTTGCATTTATCTCCAGTAAATTTCATTTCACTACTTTTATCTGTTCTTCCCGTCTGCCAAGATCTTTAGACTCTAGATCCAGACATCTCACACATTAACTATCCCTACAGCTTTGCATCCATTGCCAGACACCATCTATTTTGGTGATAAGTATGCGTTTTCACATGAGTCCATCTTGCCTCTCCAACTGCACCTCAGGGAAGTAGACTATGGGCTTTGGAGTCAGGCATTTAGAGTAAAATCCTTGCCCCGCCACTTAGCAAGTTACTATAGTTCTCTGAACCTCAGTTTCTTTGTCTGTAAAATGGACGCAGTAATCCATGCCTCAGGTTCTGTAAGTACTAAGTGAAACAATATGTATATAAGGTCAGTAGCAGAGTATATAGCATTTAGTAAGTGCTTAGTATCAATCATTGTTATCCTAAGTTCTTTAAGGACCATGATGGTATCATATACTTTCTCCTCAAATTTAAAAGATTGCTGAGCATAAAGTAGGTATTCAATGAAGATTAATTTGTTGAAATATATTTGGCCTTTTGGGAAATGACATCAATCCCTTCAGGCATCTAGAGAAAGTCTTTGTGGCTATTCACAGAAACAGCCTTTTCCTGCAGTGCATCTTAATCGAAGAACTTATCAAACTCTAAAAAGAGGCAGGGTGTGGCTGGGCATAGTGGCTCATGCCTGTAATCCCAGCACTTTGGGAGGCCAAGGTGGGCAGATCACCTGAGGTCAGGGTTTCGAGACCAGCCTGGTCAACATGGTGAAACCCCATCTCTACTAAAAATACAAAAAAAAATTAGCTGGGCATGGTAGCGGGCACCTGTAATCCCAGCTACTCGGGAGGCTGAGGCAGGAGAATCACTTGAACCCAGGAGGCGGAAGTTGCAGTGAGCCGAGATCACGCCATTGCACTCCAGCCTGGGCGACAAGAGCGAAACTCCATCTCAAAAAAAAAAAAAAGAAAAAAAAAAAAGAGGCCAGGCGTGATGGCTCATGCCTGTAATCCCAGCACTCTGGGAGGCTGAGGCAGGAGGATTGCTTGAGCCCAGGAGTTCGAGACCAGCCTAGGCAACATGGTGAAACCCTGTCTCTACAAAAAATACAAAATTTAGCTGGGCAGTGGTGGCATGTGCCTGTGATCCCAGCGACTCAGGAGACTGACGTGGGAGAATCGTTTGAGCCCAGTAGGTTGAGGCTGCAGTGATCTGTGATGGTGCCAGTGCACTCCAGCCTGGGTGAAAGAGCAAGGCCCCGTCTCAAATAATAAAAATAACTCTAAAGAAACGGTACTGAGTGTGTTTATTGAGGGCCTGACCTGCAGTAGCAGTGTAAGAGCATTGCCCAACATTTGAAACGCTCGGGCTCCAGAAAGCAGATCAAACCGGCTATCTCAAACTGCATCCGCACGCTTAACACATGCTCATTTAACTTTTGCATGACATTCCACTTCTGCGACTCAGGGTCTTTTAGAAAGTTTTACGTGGGAGGCCAAAATTCTGGAAGACGCTTCTGCCTCAGCTTCAGTAAAAACAACATAAAATGCCCTGTGAGGCTGAGGACTCCACAGGGAACTTCTAGCGGTACAGCTGCTGTAGCCACCTCCCCCTCAACCTCCTCCACAGAACCTGCGAGGAAGTGACTGTATTCCTGCTCCCTGTCTCAGAGCACAGCTTACAATATTGCCTCTTGTCCTAAGTGCTTAAGCATTATGCCAGGGTTAGTGATAAATGTTACCATACATTGAACAAACCAAAGCATATATGCAACTCTACTCCTCATAAATCCGCTCTGCAGAGCCAACCTGAAAGAATGAATTCAGCAATTCAGTTATTCTAGTGAAACCGCAATGTATTTTGCCCCAACAGATGCTGTCAGAAGGACTCTGGTTTGGCAAGGTGACTGGCTTCTTGCCACTGCTGAGAAAGCTGACATCAAGATAAAACCAACCTTCTCTTCCCCGTGCTGGACCTCTCTCCTAACAGACTGTGGCAAAAGGAAATGCTTAAACACTCCAGCATCGTCTTTAAGGGCTAACGATAAAAGCAGAGTTTGGATATTTACCAGAAACATGCAAACTACTGTTGAAAAGGAATGGAAAGAGCTGGTGACTATCATTTCTAGGTAAGAACTGTATACTTCTAGACAACATAGACCTTAACATACAACAGGCATGCATTACAAATTTAATGAATCACAAATTCAAATTCAGCTGGTGTTTACTGATGCTAGGCACGTATTTGAATTCCTTTGAGGTCAGGTGATGTTACAACCCTCCTAAGTGGCAGAGATGAAGTTTAAATTCTGACTCTGCACTGCTTTTTCCAGTACATGACAATGGCCCTAGGGAATTCAGTCCATTCAAGGAGGGCAGCAGAAGAGGTAAACATCACCCACGCTTTGAATACCTGGGCAACAAGGTAACCACACATGCTCCTGAGGTCACCGCCAGGCAGTAGGTTGGCAAGCAGTGTGTGTGTGTTTCACTTAGAGGAAGAGAGTACGAAGCAAAACCATTTTAATCTTGTGCATTTTGTCATGTACAATAAAATACAGTAAAAGGAAAAAGAATCTATAAACTTATGGTATACTTTCTCCTTCCCACTTAATACCACTCTCTGTAATTATTTCTGAAAGGACATAATGCATTTCAGGATGCTATTTATCTGAGAAGTGAAAGATGAAACGACTACGCTGGACAGCAGCGCACACAACAGAATGCTTCTTGATTCCTACTGAGACCAATTATCAGGGCAGCATATTTTCCTCTCAGTGTGTGGGGAGTCACACATGTTCATTTTCAAAAACAATGGGGAGACTATGCCTGGAGACCACTGATGCCTTTCTTAAGGACAAGGGAATGCGTATGTGAAAAATGCTTCAAGCATATTTTGCCCTCACTAAAAACAACTGAAAATATAACAGGAACCTTTTGCCTAAGAAGAAAACAAAAACCAAAAAAAAACAAAAAAAACAAAAAAAACCACCATCATCTGTGTTAAACCCTCAATCTAACTTTCTATCCAGAATTTATCCAGGTCACCAGATACACCGACAACCACTGAGGTGTTATAACCAGAAATAACAACTGTGCTGGTTGAAAGGAAACTGCAATGGAGAGAGATGCCAAGCCAATAGTTCCACTGTCTTGTAATGTCAGGGTTTGTGGAGCTGAGCACAACTTTCCTTCTGAGCACAACATGAAACAGGCAGATTGTTTCTGGAGATGGGGAAAGATGAAGAGCCCTTTGAAGTGCAAATGGCAACGAAGCCTTTCATTAAAACTATCCCTCAATAATAAAACAACACAAATCTGCCTATCAGATGGGCAAAATTTGAAAAGAATGCAGTTACTCAGTGTGGCAAGAGTGTATGGAAATGGGGCACTCTTGGACAGTATTTTGTTGGTGGGAATACAAACATTTTCAGTGTCTGAAAAGCAATTTAGAAAATCAATTATCAAAATAATTTCACACAAATATAAAATAGAATAGTATAATAAACCTCATGTATCCATAACTCAGCTCAACAATTATCAATTCATGGCCAATCAACTTTTTTTTTTTTTTTTTTTGAGATAAACTATGTCTGTCTGGAGTGCCGAGTGGCTTAATCACAGCTCACTGCAGCCTCAATCTCCAAGGCTCAAGTGCTCTTCCCACCTCAGCCTCCCGAGTAGCTGGGATTACACATACATGCCACCATGCCTGGCTAATTTTTTTTTAGTTTTTGTAGAGACAAGGGTCTTCACTATGTTGCCTAGGCTGGTCTTTAACTCCTGGGCTCAAGTGGTCCTCCTGTCTCAGGGATCCCAAAGTGCCAGTATTATAGATATGATTCACCGTCCCTGGCCGCCAATTCACGGCCAATCTTATTTCAATTAATCTACCTACTTTCTCCCTCATTGGATTACTTAGAAGCAAAACCAAGACATTATACGTTTTCATCTGTAAATAGTTGAGTACAATAAAATGACTTTTAGATTGCATATCTTATCATACCTAAAAAAATTAGTCTTTTTTTTTTTTTTTGAGACAGAGTCTCACTCTTCTCGCTCAGGCTGGAGTGCAATGGCACGATCTCGGCTCACTGTCACTGCAACCTCCGCCTCCCTGGTTCAAGCGATTCTCCTGCCTCAGCCTCCCAAGTAGCTAGGATTACAGGTACCCACCACCACACCCAACTAATTATTGTATTTTTAGTTAAGATGGGGTTTCACCATGTTGGCCAGGCTGGTCTCAAACTCCTGACCTCAGGTGATCCACCTGCCTCGGCTTCCCAAAGTACTGGGATTACAGGCATGATCCACTGTACCCAGCCGTCATTTCTGCATGTGTGTGGTTTTTTTTTTTTTTGACGGAGTCTTGCTCTGTCGCCAGGTTGCAGTACAGTGGTGTGATCTCGGCTCACTGCAACCTCCAGCTCCCTGGTTCAAGCGATTCTCCTGCCTCAGCCTCCCAAGTAGCTGGAATTACAGGCACGTGCCACCATGTCCAGCTAATTTACATATTTTTAGTAGAGACAGGGTTTCACTATGTTGGCCAGGATGGTCTCGATCTCCTGACCTCGTGATCCACCCACCTAGGCCTCCCAAAGTGCTGGGATTACAGGCATGAGCCACTGCGCCCAGCCCCAGCTGTCATTTCTTAGTACTATCAAATATCGACTAGTGTTACGATTTCCCCAATTGCCTCATATATTTTTTTACAGTTGGCTTGTTCAAATCAGGATCCAAACAAGGTCCATATACTGCATCTGACTGATATGCCTCTGAAGTCTCCTTTAATACATAAGCTCCCCCTTCCTCTTTTCCCTTGCAATTTATTTGGAAAAGAAGCTAAACCATTTGTCCTAGAGAATCTCCCACAGACTGGGTTCTGCTGACTGCATTTGTGTGTATCTTTTCATTTGTTCCATTTTGTCTACCATGCTTGAATCTAGATATTTAATCAGATTCCAGTTTGATTTTTTGGGAAGAATGCTTCATAAGTGATATAATACAATAGGAAGTACGCAATACCAGGAGGCATATCATGAATGGCTGTCTCTCTGTTGGTGATATTATCACTTGGATCTATCCATTATACCATTCCTCATCAGCTTTTTCCTGATGGTTTCAGGCTACCATTGACAATCATTGCCTAGGTCCGTATGTCATTAGGGGCTGCAAAATGGTGATATTCTAAGTCAATCATCCCATCTTTATTTATTAGTAGGAATGCTTCTGTAAAGAAATTTCCCTCCTCAAGTAATTGGTTACCTGGGTACCTTCAAGGAGAAAGGCAGGATTCTTTTTCTCCATTTGCCAGTTTTTAGAATAATATGGTAAATTCTAGCATCCTCAAAAAGTGACCAATCCAATAACTCCTTTTAGTATCACTATGAACTTGTGGACCTTACGTATATTTAGGTACTTCAATCTATTGTAGATGTTATCCTTTTTTACAGGTCAATTTGACCCATTTTGGCCCCTTCAAGTTAAGTTTTTAATAGCAACCCTGCATTCTGAGAAGACAAGATGCTCCAAATTCATCAGTGCATTCCCTGCCCCAGAGCTAGTATCTGCCATTTCTCCAAAAAGCCCTAATTCCTTTTGCTGGTGAATTGTATTTAAGAGAACACATGGCAGCATTAGGGATACTCACTGCTAGTGGGTTGATCATCGTATCTAAACTACTTCAATGGCCAGAACTAGAAAAACAGGATTTTTGCTTT